CATCAGCCAGGAAGCATAGGAACTGAGAAGTGGTCTGTGGTCACCAACTGCAAAACCAGTCCTTTATTGGGGGTGTCTTGCTAATTGCCTATAATTTCCGCCTGTGAAATGTATTGTCAATCAGTGTTGCTTCCTAAGTGGACAGTTTGATTTCACAGAATTGTGATTGACTTGGAGTTACATTGTGTTGTTTAAGTGTTCCCTTTATTTTTTTGAGCAGTGTATATACTACCGGTCAAAAGTTTTAGAACACCTACTCATTCAAGGGTTTTTCTTTATTTTTACTATTTGCTACATTCTTGAATAATAGTAAAGACATCAAAATAATGAATAACACATATGGAATCATGTAGTAACCAAAAACGTGTTAAACAAATCTAAATATATTTCATAGCCATCCTTTGCCATGATGACAGCTTTGCACATCATGGCAAAGGGGGGGGGGGGGGGTTGTTGGTTGGGTATCCTGTTTGTTAACACTGTTTGCCTGTAAACAATGCTGTTGATCTGATTTAAGTTTAAAGCACAGAGCTGTGTGTGTGTGTGCGCAGGTGGGCAACCCTGTCTGCATGTGTGTGTGTGTGTACTCTGAATGTACTGGGAGTGGAGGGGGAGGTTTTTCGGGGGGAATTGTGGGGTGGTCTTTTGGGGAGCTTGGGCCGGTGGCCGAGAGGTTGCTGGTTCGGGTCCCCGATTCGACTGGGTGGGGGATATGTCCTTGTGCCATTGGGCGGGGCCCTTGACCCTGGTTGCTCCTTTGGGTCGCTCTGGATGGGAGTCTGCTACAGTGGGGAAAAAAAGTATTTAGTCAGCCACCAATTGTGCAAGTTCTCCCACTTAAAAAGATCAGAGAGGCCTGTAATGTTCATCATAGGTACACGTCAACTATGACAGACAAAATGAGAGAGAAAAAATCCAAAAAATCACATTGTAGGATTTTAATGAATTTATTTGCAAATTATGGTGGAAAATAAGTATTTGGTCAATAACAAAAGTTTCTCAATACTTTGTTATATACCCTTTGTTGGCAATGACACAGGTCAAACGTTTTCTGTAAGTCTTCACAAGGTTTTCACACACTGTTGCTGCTATTTTGGCCCATTCCTCCATGCATATCTCCTCTAGAGCAGTGATGTTTTGGGGCTGTCGCTGGGCAACACAAACTTTCAACTCCCTCCAAAGATTTTCTATGGGGTTGAGATCTGGAGACTGGCTAGGCCACTCCAGGACCTTGAAATGCTTCTTACGAAGCCACTCCTTCGTTGCCCGGGCGGTGTGTTTGGGATCATTGTCATGCTGAAAGACCCAGCCACGTTTCATCTTCAATGCCCTTGCTGATGGAAGGAGGTTTTCACTCAAAATCTCACGATACATGGCCCCATTCATTCTTTCCTTTACACGGATCAGTCGTCCTGGTCCCTTTGCAGAAAAACAGCCCAAAAGCATGATGTTTCCACCCCCATGCTTCACAGTAGGTATGGTGTTCTTTGGATGCAACTCAGCATTCTTTGTCCTCCAAACACGACGAGTTGAGTTCTTACCAAAAGGTTATATTTTGGTTTCATCTGACCATATGACATTCTCCCAATCCTCTTCTGGATCATCCAAATGCACTCTAGCAAACTTCAGACGGGCCTGGACATGTACTGGCTTAAGCAGGGGGACACATCTGGCACTGCAGGATTTGAGTCCCTGGCGGCGTAGTGTGTTACTGATGGTAGGCCTTGTTACTTTGGTCCCAGCTCTCTGCAGGTCATTCACTAGGTCCCCCCGTGTGGTTCTGGGATTTTTGCTCACCGTTCTTGTGATCATTTTGACCCCACGGGGTGAGATCTTGCGTGGAGCCCCATATCGAGGGAGATTATCAGTGGTCTTGTATGTCTTCCATTTCCTAATACTTGCTCCCACAGTTGATTTCTTCAAACCAAGCTGCTTACCTATTGCAGATTCAGTCTTCCCAGCCTGGTGCAGGTCTACAATTTTGTTTCTGGTGTCCTTTGACAGCTCTTTGGTCTTGGCCATAGTGGAGTTTGGAGTGTGACTGTTTGAGGTTGTGGACAGGTGTCTTTTATACTGATAACAAGTTCAAACAGGTGCCATTAATACAGGTAACGAGTGGAGGACAGAGGAGCCTCTTAAAGAAGAAGTTATAGGTCTGTGAGAGCCAGAAATCTTGCTTGTTTGTAGGTGACCAAATACTTATTTTCCACCATAATTTGCAAATAAATTCATAAAAAATCCTACAATGTGATTTTCTAGATTTTTTTTTCTCAATTTGTCTGTCATAGTTGACGTGTACCTATGATGAAAATTACAGGCCTCTCTGATCTTTTTAAGTGGGAGAACTTGCACAATTGGTGGCTGACTAAATACTTGTTTTCCCCACTGTAGATTACTGAATGTAATGTAAATGTTGAGCGGCTTCACTGCAGGTAGATTGTGTTTTAGAATTCAATACAAAAATACAAATCTGTATGGATTTTGGATTGTGTTTTGTGTGACTGTCTTTTTCTGCTTTGAGTTTGCTCTGATATTTATATCTGCCTCTCTGCAGCATTGAAGGTCACCAAGAACACAGTGGCCTCCATCATTATTAGAAGTAAAACGTTTGCTTCCTAGAGCTGGCCGCCCAGCCAAACTGAGCAATCGGGGAAGAAGGGCCTTGGTCAGGGAGGTGACCAAGAACCCGATGGTCACTCTGACAGAGCTCCTCTGTGGAGATGGGAGAACCTTCCAGAAGGACAACCATCTCTGCAGCACTCCACCAATCAGGCCTTTATGGTAGTGGCCAGACGGAAGCCACTCCTCAGTAAAAAGGCACGACAGCCCGCTTGGAGTTTGCTAAAAGGCACCTAAAGGACTCTCAGACCATGACAAACAAGATTTTCTGGTCTGATGAAACCAAGATTGAACTCTTTGGCCTGAATGCCAAGCGTCAAGTCTGGAGGAATTCTGGCACCATCCCTACGGTGAAGCATGGTGGTGGCAGCATCATGCTGTGGGGATGTTTGTCAGTGGCAGGGACTGGGAGAATAGTCAGGATCGAGGGAAAGATGAACGGAGCAAAGTACAGAGAGATCCTTGACGAAAACCTGCTCCAGAGCGCTCAGGACCTCAGACTGGGGCGAAGGTTCACCTTCCAACAGGACAACGACCCTAAGCACACAGCCAAGACAACGTAGGAGTGGCTTCGGGACAAGTCTCTGAATGTCCTTGAGTGGCCCAGTCAGAGCCCGGACTTGAACCCGATCGAACATCTCTGGAGAGACCTGAAAATAGCTGTGCAGCGATGCTCCCCTTCCAACCTGACAGAGCTTGAGAGGATTTGCAGAGAATAATGGGAGAAACTCCCCAAATACCGGTGTGCTAAGCTTGTAGCATCATACCCAAGAAGACTCAAGGCTGTAATCGCTGCCAAAAGGTGCTTCAACAAAGTATTGAGTAAAGGGTCTGAATACTTAGGTAAATATTTCAGTTTTTTTATTTTGTATAAATTTGCCAAAATGTCTAAAAACCTGTTTTTGCTTTGTCATTATGGGTGTTGTGTGTAGATTGATGAGGGGAAAAAACAACTTAATCAATTTTAGAATAAGGCTGTAACGTAACAAAATGTAGAAAAAGTCAAGGGGTATGAATACTTTCCGAATGCCCTGTATATTGACTGATGTGGGTGGGTGTGTCTTTCATGCGGTGTTCACATGCTAGTCGGAACTAGGAAACTCAGAAATGTCCGACTTGCTAACTGGTTGTAGGTATACACGTGCCATGTGTTCAACCAGTTAGCATGTCGGAAATTTCAGTTTCCTTTAGTTCCGACCTAGGTTCCGACTAGCACTTGAACGAGTCATCATAACACATTGGCAAGGCAACAGAGCCTGAATGAGCCGTCAGTTTTTTGGGAAAGCTGATAGAACACTATTGGCGTTAAGAAATCAGTCCTATAAATAATTGTGAAAAAAGGTGTGATTGAGGAAATATGCAACACTGCAATAACATGTCAGTGACTGGAGAAAAGATTATACTCCAAAAAAATTATGTAAAAAAGGAACCAAGACCAAGGAAAGCCTTAAAAGGAGAAACACATGAAGCCAGTCCAGAGTCATAATGTGCATACTGTCTATTGGTTTATTCATTTTTTACAAATCAGGAAGATGATTTAATGTTATGTAACAACCTGTACAACGCAACATACAGAAAAAAATACAAATACAAATTAATTATGGTAAAAAGCAGCACTGGGCCTTTAAACAACCCCATATATTTTTCACATTTTGATTGGACGTTGCAAGCAAGTACATTTTTTCAAACCCCACCTTTTTTGCAATAAATTAGTTTATACACAGTTTTGTGTGAGGAAAGTTGACTGAATCTTGACTCAAAACCACTGTTTTCCTCTCCTTTTTTGTCAAAACAATAACTTGGCAAGATGGCTGGGTTATTTATGCATGTAGTGATGTAAGTATCTCAGATAATTTTGTTGCCAAACAAAACAGGTGGTTAAACATGGTTAAAAGATATGCTTGGAGAGCTGTCCAAATACAATCAAATATTAGCTGAATATTTGGATCAGGAATGAATGAACCCCTGTGTTAATCTATGTAATGTATTATGTAAACTGAAGGGTGTTAGTTTTAACGTAAAGCAGACAGGTAGAACGTAAACGGACTATGAAAAACAAAACGACAAAAACCCTTATGAATCACATTCGCAACGTAAACTCCAGCATCAGGGCCTGCATTTCGTAAAGACTCCATTTCCCAAGAGTCTTTGCATGAACACGCCAAAGTGAAGCCACACCCCTATGATGTGATTGGCTCTGAACATTCCTCCCTGGTAAACGATGACAGAATGGATGGATCAGAGGAAGACAAACGTAACCAGTGTAAACAACGATGTGTGAAAACGGGTATGTTCAGCAGGGCACAACGTTGTGGAAAGTTCAGATAGAAATACCTTATGAAGAACAAACATGCCTCTCTGGTATAGAACGCTGTCAGCTCTATTCATGACATTTCTATCTGCAGCGTTACACAACGTTTTCCTCCTGAACTAGCTATAGAAAATGAGAAGAGATATCTTTAGGTCCAGGCCCATTTCGATTACTAGTTTAAATAGAATCGGGCCTGGGCCTTTATGCATCAGAGTAATGTTTAGTATGGCACACTGTAAAGAATGAAATTTAGCAAAGGAAAACAACTGTTTTCTCATTGGACAAGCTCAGGTAGAACCTCCCCGTTTTCAAAACATTTTCTCCCTGCTGAACACACCCCTGTTATTCCCTCTACACTGCATGTGTAGAATCCCTCTAACCTCCAGTGAAGTGAATATGACAGGTGTAAAGCAGTGATAGGGGAGAATTCAGGAGACAAAGCTTAATGGCCAGACTGACTGGTTGAAAAACATTGAACATTTCTCTCCCACTAGTTCTGACGGTGGTGTTAGTCTCCATCACTATAGTCCTTCATGGCTTCCTCTCCTCGTCTCCTTTCCTTTATCTGCACTGATATGAATGAACCGGAACTGGACAGGTGAAAGTAAATTCCCATTAGGCAACAGCCACCTGATCGTTTTCACCTATCCTTTGTTTTCAGATCAGTGCAGTTAGCGTTACACCTGTAAACATTTTGCGGCAGTTTTTGAGTTCCTCCCTCTACAGATGCTCTCAGGTCCTCCTGTTCAGGGTTATTTTCCAGTATTTTTTCCTCCTTTCGGGTCATTGTTTGATCTATCGCTCTTTTCCTCCATTTCCTTCTGACCCGTGGTTAAGTATTTCGTTTAAAAAACCCAATAGTCAGTGACCGTCTTGCGCAGCAGGCGGTGACGGGTGGAGGTCGCCGTTGCGAAGTGGCTCAACAAACGGTCCAAGTCTTGGAACGCAACATGACCGGTTTGGGTTGTGCACTCTGTGCCTTTTCACAGGAGAACCAAACGGATCAGTCTGGGGCATAGGGGTTGATAAAAACAAGAGCTAGAGGGAGAGAACAAGAGAGAGAGGGGGGAGGACAATACAAACTGCGCTAAAAGAAAAATAGCTGTGACCAAAAACAAGTGTTGTATTATGAAGGATAAAAAATAAATGTTAAAATAAAAAATTAATCGCCCACGAAGTGTCCAAAACATAAAGTGCAGGCAGTGTCCGTCTGGTTGTTTTTCTCTGAATCCACCTTAGCTCCTTCCCGTTAAAAAAGTGTCAGAGAACAAACAAAAACAAATAAACAAAAAACATTGTCCAAAATAAACAAAACAAAAATAATACTGAATTGTCAGTCAACAATCCCCCCAGCAACAGGAACAGGAGGGGAAATTCCACAAATTCCAAAGAGTCTCAAAGTCTGGAATATGTTTGATGGAGAAGTAGTAGTTTTGGAGGCACCGCTGGGATACAGTAGCTCCCTTTCCCCCTCTCTCTCTCTACATCCATCAATCTCTCCATCACTCCCGCTATCACTCCACCCGTATGAGCAGGCCGTAGAGGACGGTGCCCCCCTGCTCCTTAGTGATCCACTCGATCTCTGTGTTGCTGAAGCGGGGATCCAGGGGTTCGCTGGCTCCCAGGGTCTGGGCCCCCACCTTATAGGAGCCCGGCCGCACACACACCTGGAAACCCACCTGGGCCTGGTGACAGCGGTGAGAACGGGGGTCCCGGAATCTGGAGGGAGAGAGTGAAAGGGCAGAGTGAGGACAGCAGGAGTCATGGGAAGAAGAATGAAAGCAAGATAGTGAAAGAACAAGACAGTAATAATCATTTAAATTTGAATAAGAGCAAAAGGCAGATAGAGAGCAGAGCATGAGAGAGATGCAACAATAGATGGGACAAATAACAGGGCAGAAAATAGTGGTATTGACTGACACGTACTGCACTTTGGGGGCGAACATCTCCAGGCCGGAGTAGCGCATGGTGGGGGACAGCTGTACCCGGGGCGCCTCCCTGTCCCTGTCAGGGAGACTGTTGCTGCTGTTCTCCTCTGGCTCACTGTAGCCGTTAGGACCCTCCGTCTTCAACGGAGACACAGAGAAAATGGACGACGTCCCTGAAACACCAAGACAACACGGTTTAGTTCATTTACAACACCATCACCATTCTTTAATCATTAGGGGAAATGTTTGTGGTGATGGAAATGGTTCTGGAAATCGACCATGAGTTCCAAAAGGCTAGATTATTTTAATTTATTTTTAATTTTACCTTTATTTAACTAGGCAAGTCAGTTAAGAACATTCTTATTTACAATGACGGCCTACACCGGCCAAACCCGGACGACGCTGGGCCAATTGAAATCCGGTTATTGCTTTCGGAGAGAAACACCTTGAGGTGATATGCTCATCAAAATAAGCAACCTGTGGTCAATTCACAACAGTTAGTTAGTCCATAAAGTGGATAAGGAAACAAATGCCATGTCGTACCAGAGAGCAGCTGAGCATGGTCCAGGGTGCGTCTCAGAGCCCCTACGCTGGTGCCGTGGTAGGCTATGTGCCACTTCTTAAACGAATTGGACACCTCACAGTGGGGCTTGATCCTGTAGGGAGGGAGAACATACACACCAAGTTGTTAGATAACCCCTCTACCAGAGTCCTATGACATTGATACTCAAAGCCAGTTCTCAAAGCTTTACTGTTTTTACTTTCCTTCTCCCGTCAAGGTGAAAATAAGTAATTAATTAAGTAATTAGTTAATTGAACTAGATAAAACTAATTCAGGCTGATTAATTGGACTTGAAGAGCACCGTCACTGATGTTAAGAGTGATTGGTTGAACATAGTTTTGCAGCCAACTGAGCTACAGTGTGATTGGTTGAAGACAGTTTTTGAAGCCCACTGATTGGCTGTCTGTAACCTCTGACCTCAGAGCGAAGCGGCACCAGCCAAAGGGCAGGGCGTAATCCCGGGGGGGCTCCCCTCTCTTGTAGTAGGACTCGTCCCCCCGCAGCTTGTGGCACGACTCACAGTAACACAGGTTATACTTAGCATCCTCGTTGAAGTAACCATCTGAGAGAGATGATAGGGGGAGGGGGCAGAGAGAGGGAGAGAAAAACGAAATATGGAGAAGTTATGATTAAGTCACAGAGAGACGAGTAGACACGGAGAGACAGAGACAGAGAAAAAGAGAGACAGAGAGACGACAGGGAAAGAGAGAGAGAGAGAGAGAGAGAGACAGAGAGAGAGAGAGACAGAGACAGAGACGAGAGAGAGAGAGAAGAGAAGAGACGGAGAAAGAGAGCGAGAAAAGAGAGAGAGAGAGCGAGAGAAAAGGACCGAGAAGAGAGAGGAGAGAGACAGAGAGAGAGGACATTAGCCACGAGACAGAGAGGAGAGAGGAGAGAGAGAGAGAGAGAGAGAGAGAGAGAGATAGCGAGAAGAGAGATGGAGAGGAGGAAGACGGAGAGAGAGAGAAGAGAGAGGAGGAGACGGAGAAAGAGAGCGGAGAGAGACGGAGAACAGAGAGAGCGAGAGTTAGAGAGAGAAAGAGACAGAGAGAGACAGAGAAGAGAGAGAGAGAGAGAGAGACAGAGAAAGAGACAGAAAGAGAGACAGAGAGAGAGAGAGAGAGAGAGAGAGAGAGACGACAGAGAGAGAGGGCAGTACACAGAGACAGTAGTGTGTATGTTCCTCACCTGGCAGTGCGAGCAGGTCCTTGAAGCGCGAGCACAGGGCCTGGTACTCACAGGTCTTGTTGGGGTTGACCTCTGGATGGGGTGTCCAGCACACACTCTCTTTGATCCCTGGAGGTCAGATGTCAAAGGTTAGCACTGGTTCAGCCCAGAGCCACAGATGTAAAAGGCCTGTATTAAGTTGACATATTCGTCATGCTCTCCTCCTCTCACCATCAACCATGTCAGCCTTCTCCATGTCGCCCTGGCAACGCGCCTCGCCGCTCTCCCCTCCCACGGTTGACACGTTGGTCACTATGGTAACCTGCCATGACAATGACATCAGAGGGTGTCACTGAAATCTCTCGGCCCCTGGTGTGACACAGATTATGCAGTCCCAGGCCAGGCTGGGCAACTGAGATCATTAAACCGGCCTGGTGGGAGGGCTGGGATTACGGAGCATCTAAATGAGATTGGGATTATGACTGTTACACTGTGTAACTTTGGCCAGGTGGAGGTATTTCAAGATTAAAGGTCATAGAGCGAAAGACTAGTAGATTAGCGTTTCTAGCTATTGATCTAAAAGTGGCCCCGAGTAGGACTGAGTCCCAAATGGCACCCTATTCCCTATATAGTGTGCTACCAGAGCCCAATAGTGCACCACTTTTGACCGGGCTCTGGTCAAAAGTAGCACACTATATAGGGAATAGGGTGCCATTTGGGACTCAGTCCTACTCGGGGCCACTTTTAGATCAATAGCTAGAAACGCTAATCCCAGCCCTCCCACCTGATATAGGCTCAGAGGGCTGCCTGGATGCTGATCTGGTTTTCCACCATGACCGTTCATCATTAAATCATGTCCAGGTAGAAATGTCTGAACTTCTTCAACCTCTAAAATAATTCGGACCGTTTTGAATGGGAGTGGGGGCGGGTGACAGACGTACCTGTTCACACTGTCCGTATAGGTCTATGAGGGGGTAGCATGGTGTAGGGATGTCCAGGGCTGCTACTCCCTGGTCCATACCGTTCACATAAAGGTGCAGACAGCTGTTCACATCCACTAGCAGACCCAGGACTGTACCCTCTGGACATGTGTCCAGGTTTGGACCATAGTTCTCACAGATCTGATGGGGAGGAAAACGGGGAGAGAATGGAGGTGAAGTGATGGAGGGAAAGAGAGAAGAGAGAGAGAGGGTACATTTCAATTAAGATGCGTGTTGTGTTTGTCTTGCTATCTGTACCTTGTTTGTGTGTGTGTGTGTGTGTGTGTGTGTGTGTACCTTGTGTGTGTGTTTGTGTGCGCGCAGTGTTTCCCCTAGGAATTAATTCAGTAGCTGTGGCAGAGATAGCGGGGGGGACCTTTTCAGTTATTCAACAAAACTTAAGTTGACTTTTTTTTAAAGTCAAATGCATTAAAATGAAATGTTCTCTTCCTTTGAAACTCATCTGAAAATCGAGGACAGTTTAATTTTATCTCTTGATCTCAATAAAATCACCAGCCACTTCTATATTAACGGCAGAAATTATTTCACTAGTGTAATGTTACTGTATCTTAATAGGGATGGTTCCACTTCCAGGATTACAAGCTAGTTAGCTTGGAGGTTTCTCAGACGATCTGATGACAATCTGAGGAAGATATGTAACTTGTTGTACCTTGTCACTCTGATCTTAAAAGCTCATCTTGGCAGAATTTTTATTTGCAGTGGCGGCAATGATTTAGCAGCGGCGGTGCGCTGCTGCTAAATGAATATAGGGGAAACACTGGTGTGTGTCCAGTACCTTCAGTGAGTTGTGGAAGACAGAGTCTCTCTGCAGCAGCCACACAGAGCGTTTCAGACAGCACGCAGTGGAGGGAAAGTTGAGGCGGTCTGGGGAGTGGCCTATCACCCCTAGCGACAGGGACGACGTCCACGACGTGTTCAGGCGGTCAATCTGAAACTATGGCAACATTGATAGTCGAAATGTCATTCACCAACTATGGGAACAGAATGCACTATAAAAGATGTGTCCCTATAGAACAATTAAACACCCCCTTGGCTACCCCAATCAAATCCTGACACACACACCCCTAACCCCGTCACTCACACACACACACACACACAGTACCTGGAACAGTTGTTGTCGGGGCAGGGGTTGTGCTGTGACCAGGAGGCCCTGGTTGTAGCTGGAGACGCGGGCCGCCGTCAGGTTCTGATTGGACAGCTGGATGTTCTTCCCATGGTTCTCCAGGAAGGCCATGACTGTGTTGGGCACCAGGGCCGGCTCACCAGTCTCAACCTGATGGATGGAGAGAGTAGATAGATAGAGATAGAGAGAGGAGAGGGAGAGATAGAGGAGAGAGAGTAGATAGATAGAGAGAGGAGAGATAGAGGAGAGAGAGAGAGAGGGGAGAGAGAGGAGAGGAGAGAGAGAGAGAGAGATCGAGAGAGAGGATGAGAGAGAGATAGAGAGAGAGGGGAGAGAGAGAGGTAGAGAGGGAGAGAGGAGAGAGAGAGACGAGAGTGAGAGGAGAGGAGAGAGAGTGAGAGAGGTAGTAGAGGAGAGAGAGTAGAGATAGAGAGAGAGAGAGGGAGAGGAGAGAGAGATAGAGAGGAGAGGGAGAGATAGAGAGAGAGGGAGGAGAGAAGAGAGGATAGAGAGAGAGGGAGTAGAGATGAGAACGAGGGACGAAATAAGGGTTGAGTGAAAGGAGAGAAGATAGAGAGGAGAGGGAGATAGAGATGAAACAAACTGTATTTACTTCTGTTGCCTTAGATCAATTCACACATACACAGTGTACAAAACATTAGGAACACCTGCTCTTTCCATGACACAGACTGACCAGGTGAATCCAGGTGAAAGCTATGATCCGTTATTGATGTCACTTGTTAAATCCACTTAAAATCAGCGTAGATGAAGGGGAGGAGACAGGTAAAAAAATATATTTTTAAGCCTTGAAACAATTGAGACATGGATTGTGTATGTGTGCCATTCTGAGGGTGAATGGGCAAGACAAAAGATGCAAGTGCCTTTGAACGGGGTATGGTAGTAGGTGCCAGGCGCACTGGTTTGTGTTAAGAACTGTAACGCTGCTTGGTTTTTCACGCTCAACAGTTTCCCGTGTGTATCAAGAATGGTCCACCACCCAATTTGATACAACTGTGAGAAGCATTGGAGTCAACATGAGCCAGCATCCCTGTGGAACGCTTTCGACACCTTATAGAGTCCATGCCCTGACAAATTGAGGCTGTTCTGAGGGAAAAGGGGGCAGGGGGTGCAACTCAATATTAGGAAGGTGTTCCTAATGTTTTGTACACTCAGTGTATTTAACCACCTATGGAGTAATTGCCGGTTTCCTTCTGTACTTTGAGATGCTTGCATGACAAAAGCAGAGAAATAAAAATTCCACACATTTTCTTACTTTACAAGACACAAAGTCTAACATTATAGTTGTGAAGCTATAGTCACTGAAGATCCAGATGAAAGCATATCATCCATCGGTCCCCTTTCTCCTATCTCCTTCTCCCTCTATCCCTCTATCCCCACACCCGTGTCTCACCGGTGTGCGGTCCTCCTCTCCTTCGCTGCAGCTGTCTGAGGAGAGGGAGGGGGCCTTGATGCGCCCTGCGTCCTCCAGCACTGATGAACTGACGATGGACACCGCTGTCACACGACCATACAGGTCCAACACTGCATACACGTTCTATAGGTAGGGGAGAGAGGTGGGGGTTAGTGGGGTGGGGTGTTGTGTGTTAGTAAAACAAGGAACATTCGAACAGTTCACCGGTCCCTACTAGGAAATAGGCTATTTTAGGCTTAGGTTTACAATTGCATGCTGACCAGACCGGACGCATGCGCGAGCGTTGCAAAATAAATGTACACAGATGTTATTCAATCATTGCACTCACACTGCTCGCGCGCGTCTGTGTAGCCAGGCGCTAAAATAGAGCTTGGTTCTATTTGTGACGCTCGACGCACTGCAAGTCCTGCTTTTCCCATCTCCTCATTGGTTTTTAGGACCAAATACCCACGTGGGTGATTGAAAGATTAACTGAGGTCCACACTCCAGTCCAGTTGGTGGTGGTAATGCATCTTAAAGTTGGTAGCCAAACGACATATAAAGTCCAAAGAAGAAGAAGAAGCCTGAAGGAAGCCTGAACTTGGTTTACTGTTTTATCTGTGGATTAATTGTTGGAGTAGAGGACCTTGTGCATTTCAGGTAAAATAACAACCCAATGTTTATTACCCAGGACAAATTAGCTAGCAACAGCAAGCTAGCTAGCTAAATTGCCATAAATGTTTAATACTTTTCGACCTGTCCCCAAGTTAATATACAGTGCCCTCCACAATTATTGGCACCCCTGTTTAAGATGTGGTCGAGGACTTCCAAAAATTCTCCTTTTTTTTTTAAACAACATAGAACCCAAATGCAAAAAAAGAGAAAAATCCAACCTTTTATTTAAGTACATTACTTTGGTGTACAAAAAAAAAATCACACATTTAGAAGAAAAAAAAACTTGAAATCATGTGTCCCACAATTATTGGCACCCCTGGTGTTAATACTTTGTACAACCCCCTTTTGCCAACAAGACAGCACTTAATCTCCTCCTATAACATTTCACAAGATTGGAGAACACAGAGAGAGGGATCTTTGACCATTCTTCTTTGCACAATCTTTCTAGATCATCCAGTGTCCTGGGTCCTCTCTTATGCACTCTCCTCTTTAGCTCGCCCCACAGGTTTTCGATTGGGTTGAGGTCTGGGGACTGAGATGGCCATGGGAGGACCTTGAGTTTGTGACTGCTGAACCATTTTTGTGTAGATTTTGCCACATGTTTTGGATCATTATCCTGCTGAAAGAACCAATGACGACCCATCTTCAGCTTTCTGGCAGAGGCCATCAGGTTTTTATTTAAAATGTCCTGGTAGTTCAAAGCGTTCATAATGCCATGCACCCTAACAAGGTTCCCAGGGCCTTTGGAAGAGAAACAGGCCCACAGCATCACAGATCCTCCACCATACTTCACGGTGGGCATGAGGTGCTTTTCGGCATAATCATCTTTTGTTTTACGCCAGACCCACTTAGAGTGTTTGTTGCCAAAAAGCTCAATCTTAGTCTCATCTGACCAAAGCACACGATCCCAGTTGAAGTCCCAGTGCCGCTTAGCAAACTCCAGACGTTTACGTTTGTGAGTGTTAGTGAGAAAAGGCTTTTTCCTTGCATGCCTCCCAAACAGCTTGTTGGCATGTAGAGAGCGTCTGATGGTTGTTTTGGAGACTTTGTGACCCCAAGATGCCACTCTTTGATGCAATACTGTGACAGTGAGCTTAGGACTTTTTTTTACTTCTCTTACCATCCTCCTCACTGTGCGTTGTGGCAAGATAAACTTGGGACCTCTTCCAGCCTTGTTTGTCACTGTTCCAGTTGTTTTAAACTTCTTAATGATTCCTCTGACTGTAGATACGGGCAAGTTAAGGCGAGTGGCTATTTTCTTGTAGCCATTGCCTGACTTATGAAGGTCGACACAAATCTGCCTTACTTGAATGGTGTGTTCTCTTGTCTTTGCCATGTTGACAAATGGGTAAGAGAATTAGGCCTCTGTGTCACGTCATATTTATACCCCAGGGAAACAGGAAGTCATGAATTACTAATTAAAAGTTCCAAGATACCCTGACCAACTTTAGCAACTACAGAAAAATCTATTTAAAAAAAAATCAATTAAAAATTTCAGCGGAATTGTTAGGGGTGCCAATAATTGTGGGACACATGATTTCAAGTTTTTTTTTTTAAATGTGTGATTTTTTTTTTTACCACCAAAGTAATGTACTTAAATAAAAGTTTGGATTTTTCTCTTTTTTTGCATTTGGGTTCTATGTTGTTTAAAAAAAAAAGGAGAATTTTTGGAAGTCCTCGACCACATCTTAAACAGGGGTGCCAATAATAGTGGAGGGCACTGTAGTTGAATCAGAGTTACTTTTGATATTTCAACCTGCGTGTCCTGATCGTGTCTGGTGTGGGAGGAAAAAATCAACACCTGTGCGGTCTGGTCAGCATGTTAGGGTTATAATTAGGGTAAGGAGTTAGGGTTAGTGGTTAAGGTAAATAGGATTTTGAATGGGAATCAATTGTTTGGTCCCCACAAGTCTAGGAAAACAATCATGTGTGAATTGAACAAGTATGACGTGTGTGTATGAGAGAACAGTTTGTACGTTCATGAAGTGTGTGTGTGTACCTTGGCCACAGCGGTGGCAGCTGGTCCCATGTCCTCTCCGTCGATAAGGACGTGCATGGTGTCATCACTGCATCTCTTCACCCCAACGCGGTTCCCCACCTAGACACACACAGAATCCAACTCAGGCACCAAATGTAGTCCCTACTTAGCTATTAATCTATTCATCACAATCCTTCTATCCATTCCATATGCACTAATGTTTATAGTGTCCATCTTTGTCTTTTTCTTTCTTCCTCCAATCCCAACCTGTTGTTCCCTCCCTCCCCCCCATGTTTCTCTCTGTTTCTGCAACAACTGACAAAATAAGTACAAATTATTGATTCAACAGAGCTCTGGAATCCAACGTCCTGTCTCTCACCGTCAGTCTGTCCAGGGAGGCGCCGTAGTTCTGTCTCTGCAGGAGCCCGTTGCGTCTGACCTCTGACCCCGCTAGCAGCCATGTGACCTTGGCCCGGAGCTGTGTGAGGGAGGGGGACAGGCCTGAAATGGGGCAGGAGGGCAGCTCTGGAGGGGCTAGGGTGGTCAGACCCATGTGGAGGGAACCAGACCACTGGTCATCCACCTCGTCTATCTTCACCTGGGGTTTGGGTGGAGGGACAATAATACAACATCAATAATTAATGTTATGAAGTGGGTGTGTGTATGAGACAGCAGATTAATCAAGTGTTATGGAAATACAGCAGTCTGATAGATAACAGAACACTACGCACCTCAAACAGTTCTTCTGTTTTGAGTTCCTTGGCGCTGAAGACGATGCCGTGTGCATATCCTCCCAACCTGACGGCCTGGCAGCCCTCTCCCAGCAGAACCACGTTTTTACCATGCTTACTGTGGAGCCGGTGGGCCACGCCTGCCACTACACACACAGGGAAGAAGGAGAGATGTGAGCCAGACTGTCGTTCAACAACTTATTTAGATCCATAGCCTGAGAGAAAATAACACACACACACACACACACATCCATGGTCAGTACCTGGGGAGTGTATGGGGAAGCTTTTTTCTGTGATGTTGCTGGTACACAGACTGTTATCCTGAGGGCCAGAGGAACTGGTGATGGACACCTGAACACACTGACCATACAGGTCTATCACCTGCGTACACCTCTAATGGAGGGAAGGAGGGAGGGAGACAAGAGAGAGAGGAAAGAGGGGTTTACCAAGTTCACCATATATTTGGAAAGTGGAGACGCTTGACAAAGAGATCAATGAGACTAGCCTTGATTTAGCACAAGAGAGCTGCTAAGTGGATTTATTCAGAGACACTTAGCATCAAAGTGCATAGTACACACCATCAGTTCCATTTCAATCCAATCAATTCATGAGCCTTTTGTCCCCAACCCCTAGCCCATGTATGGGGTCGTAAAATGGGGTTTTATGATAACTGGTTCCATTCACCTTTACCTGGCGGCAGCCCGGTGCAGGCCACGCCCTGGTCTATCCCCGTTGATGTAGTAGTGAAGGTCGCCGGTGGCCGAGCGCATCATGCCGATCCTACTGCCCGTGGTCAGAGTGTCCAGGTCACAGCCGTAGTTGTTACGCATGGTGTTGCCGTCCTGCATGATGGCCGTGCCACTGGTGGGGGGGGTGAGAGAGGGAGTTCAAATTAAACTTGGGTTTATTTCATGCACAAGACAGAGGAAGGTATTCCCTTAGATGCTTCTTAGTGAGATCCACTGTAGTAGATAGATACAACAGTAGGAGTCGATAACAGTAGATTTAATCTAATCTATGTTTCAAAACAAGAGGGTTGAAAATCATTCATTTAGAATGTTCAAGCACTGAGACAGACACAAAACACTCACATCTCCCCACCCAACACACACCTAAGCATCCAGGTATCGTAGTCTATATCTGTCATGGTGTTAGGAAACTCCAGCTCTTCTGGCCTGATGGCGGTCACACCTGGATAGAACACACACACGGACAAACATATATCACCCCACTGCTGTGTGTGTGGATAGGGCTGTGTGAGAAGGTCGAGAGGGTTAAATAGAAACGCCTTACCTGCCATTATCTTACCTGCTTCTATTGACCCCGACCAACGGTCCACCATCTTCTGAATGACTATCTCAAAGAGCTCTCCATCTCGAAGGCACCTGAAAACGGACAACACACAGTCAGGACCTTCTGACCTGTTGGCCTTCTGACCTTCTGACCTGTTGGAGATGACGCAGGTGTGTGTGTGTGTGTGTGTGTGTGTCACTGACCTGTTGGAGATGACGATGGCGTCGTTGAACTCGGAGCGACAGTTCTGTCTGAGGGCGGTGCGCCCCCCGTTGGTGATTACCGCGTTAGTGCCGTGCAGCTGGTGGAAGCGCAGGTCGTTGGCACTGTTGCCCCCGGCGACCGAGCATGGGCTGCTGGGCGACATGACGACGGGGCCCTCCGAGCTGTCCTCAGGGAGAGGGGGGAGGTCTGCTAGAGAGCGTAGAAATGGTTGTGGATGGTTGTTGAGGCAAAGCTAGTTGGATGAGGATATTCACATACTATCTACAGATACATTTCCATGTCTTCAGTATACACGTGGTTCCAAAACCTTTTTGATCTGTGACGCACTAGAAGCCTTTGGAATTGTCTTGGGAACCTTTATCTTTGTCAACCCTCCTCCATGCTCACCCATGTCGTCCATGATGGTGGCCTGCGCGGCCTGGCCGTAGAGGTCCACCACGGCGTAGACACTGAGTGGGATGTTCCACGCCGCCGGGCCCTGCGCCACCCCGTTCACAAAGAAGTGGAGGCTCCCATCCTCCTTACGCACCACACCCACTGTGTCCCCCGCCTGGAGAGAGAGAGAGAAGACAGGGGTCAGAGAGAAAGAGATCAGTGTTAAATTGACAACCTCAAAGCACACAACAACAGGTGATATGGGTGAGAAGTACGATAGAATGTAAGTGTTGATAGTGAGTGAGAAGAAGAAAAAGAGTGAGAGCAGGAACAGGACAGAGAGAGAGAGAGGATGAGAAATAGAGAGAGGGGGATAGAGTTTATTAATCTAAGGATGACTGTAAAGTATGTCTCCCACTCACTTTGAGTCGGTCCAGGTTGTGTCCGTACTCGTCCAGTATGGTGGTTCCGTTGTGCATCACCCCGTTCCCGGTCATCATCCAAGTCCCTGGGACACAAAACCATAACATCAGTCAACCTACAACAAAATCATCAAATCAGTCAACCTACAACAAATCCAGAACATCAGTCAAACTACAACAAAATCATCAAATCAGTCAATCAACAGCCCTTTCCAAACATTGTTTGAGTATGGAAAAGTAGATGAATCAAGCCCCTAGCCTAAAAAGAAGGCTAGTTGGGCCTACTAGTGTATTGTTTTCAGATCTACAAGTAACCCTGCTAGGGTGTAGGGGTAAGAGGTTGGTATTACCTGATTGGTTGGTATTACCTGAGCGCAGGTTGGTCATGGTGGAGGGCAGCTGCAGGTAGGCGGGGTTGTGCGTGGTCACGCCGATCTCGATGGAGCCCGCCCACTTGTCCACCATCTTGTCGATGCGCACCTGGAACACCTCGTTGGAGCGCAGCGGGCGGCCACTCAGGACCACGCCGTGATTGAAGTCGTCCGAAGCACTGCCCGAGGAAAAATACACACAAACAACCAATCAATTAAATCAAATGTATCTATTTATGTAATATACAGTGGCTTGCGAAAGTATTCACCCCACTTGCCATTTTTCCTATTTTTTTGCCTTACAACCTGGAATTTTAATGTTTCCCCTTAAACCACTCAAGTCTTACTTTAGCAGTATGCTTAGGGTCATTGTCCTGCTGGAAGGTGAACCTCTGTCCCAGTCTCAAATCTCTGGAAGACTGAAACAGGTTTCCCTCAAGAATTTCCCTGTATTTAGCGCAATCCATCATTCCTTCATTTCTGACCAGTTTCCCACTCCCTGCCGATGAAAAACATCCCCACAGCATGATACTGCCACCACCATGCTTCACTGTGGGGATGGTGTTCTCGGGGTGATGAGAGGTGTTGGGTTTGTGCCAGACATAGCATTTTCCTTGATGGCCAAAAAGCTCAATTTTAGTCTCATCTGACCGGAGTACCTTCTTCCATATGTTTGGGGAGTCACCCACATGCGTTTTGGCTAACACCAAACGTGCTTGCTTATTTTTTTCTTTAAGCAATGCCTTTTTTCTGGCCACTCTTCCGTAAAGCCCAGCTCTGTGGAGTGTACGGCTTAAAGTGGTCCTATGGACAGATACTCCAATCTCCGCTGTGGAGCTTTGCAGCTCCTTCAGGGTTCTCTTTGGTCTCTTTGTTGCCTCTCTGATTAATGCCCTCCTTGCCTGGTCCGTGAGTTTTGGTGGGCGGCCCTCTCTTGGCAGGTTTGTGATGGTGCCATATTATTTCAATTTTTTAATAATGGATTTAAATGGTGCTCTGTGGGATGTTCAAAGTTTCGGATATTTTTGTATAACCCAACCCTGATCTGTACTTCTCCACAACTTTGTCCCTGACCTGTTTGGAGAGCTCCTTGATCTTCATGGTGCCGCTTGCTTGGTGGTGCCCCTTGCTTAGTGGTGTTGCAGACTCTGGGGCCTTTCAGAACAGGTGTATATATACACTGAGCTCATGTGACAGATCATGTGACACTTAGATTGCACACAGGTGGACTTTATTTAACTAATTATGTGACTTCTGAAGGTAATTGGTTGCACCAGATCTTATGTAGGGGCTTCATAGCAAAGGGGGTGAATACATATGCACGCACCACTTTTCCATTATATATTCTTTTGAATTCTTTGAGACAAGTTATTTTTTTCATTTCACTTCACCAATTTGGACTATTTTGTGTATGTCCAATACATGAAATCCAAATAAAAATCAATTTAAATTACAGGTTTTAATGCAACAAAATAGGAAAAACGCCAAGGGGGATGAATACTTTTGCAAGGCACTGTACCACACCCCCTCAGGCCTTACTGCTTAAATATACTATGACCAATTAAATCTTACAAACAGTTGGTAAAGATATGATATTGTTCGAAACAAGGCCATGGTTACAATACGTACTGAGGGCGAAGCGCCGTCCTGCCCTCGCTGATGATGGCTGCCTTTTGGCCACAGTTGGAGTGGAAGAGGAGGCGGTCAGGGGCGTCGGGGTCCGGCGTGAGGGAGAGGGCGGGCCGGGGGCGGCCAACATCTGGCGACAGCGCCCGCATGATGGCGTTGTTGCGGCGGAGACGGTCGCTGTGGTTGTGATTGTGGACGATGGTCACCTTGACCGCCATGCCGTAGAGGTCGACCACGCCGTAGACCACAGTGGGTGTCTGGGCCGCTGCCACGCCTAGGGGGCAGGGTCAGAGGTCAAATTGAGGTTATGAACGACTTGGATGAAATGTGGTAATGATTTGCAATTGTACGTGTTTCTCGAACTGACAATGATATTTATACATTGTATGGGGCAAAACTCCTCTGCATGACAATTATGTAAACAATCATTCAAATGACAACAAGTATGTAAAACATAGCAAGCATTTCAACGATGTGCCTCTTAATAAATAATATACTTCATGCATTTTTGCTGCATTTTCAGTATTACCATATAAATTGCAGCATTATGGTTTGCCTGTCCTTCACACTGCAAGGTTAATAGCTACTCTATCAACATATGAGCTCAAAGCTCCTATCCCTCTAACACCATGCTACAGCCATTCAATCCCCCGTTACATTGACGGATGCTCCTGGCGTGTCACTCTCACCTTGGTCGATGCCATTGATGTAGAAGTGAAGAGCTCCGCTGGCCTTGTGCATCAAGCCTATGTGATCCCCCTCCTGGAATGGAAGTCACAGAGTGTCATGGTTAAGATGTTAGGGATGTGTGTGTCTATATGTGTCTGTGCGTGAGACACTGACCTGCAGTTCATCCAGGCTGAATTCACAGTACTCCCGACGGGTTCCCTTGCCGTTAGTCAGGATCCCACAGCCACTCATCATGATTGTACCTGGAAGGCAAGAAAGAAACACACAGCAAGATGTAGCCTTATACTTTTTTTTATTTGTATTTGTATTTTATTTTTTTCTGGGGGTAGATCAGCTTAATATTGCAGATAGATTGTAACTTCTATCAATGTAGCCTTATACTTTGCAAAGAACAAGAATGAACAGCCCCTCCTGGATTTCGCTGGGAATTTTTGGTGATATTTGCGGGCAAAAGATAATGACATTTTGCATGGCAATATGCAATGACTGTCAAGTTTCTCGCGAAAACACGCTGACGAAGGAAAAGGTTTGTTGACGTGTAGCTTGATTTAACCATATTATGTGGTAAATGTGTGGTGATTGGTTGAAAATGCAAGCCCTCTTTTTGTACTGCAGTGACGGGTCAGTTTTATGCGATAATATTGCCATGATTTTACTGTTTTATTGTAAAAATAGTGCGGTGATTGGTTGCAAGCCCTCGCATAATATGCGGGGAATTGTTGCTTTTGCAACAACAACAAAATTGATCGCAGAATCCTGGAGGGATTGAACATGTGTGCAGTTTGTTGTGGAATGAATAGATCAAGTTGTATATTGGGTTTGAGCAACACCTCGCTAGCGTGTGTATGTATGTGTGTTACGTGTGTGTATGTTACGTACCTGAGCGCAGATTTGTCATTGTGGCTGGGTAGTCCAAGTTGTTGGGGTTGTGTGTCGTCACGCCAATCTCGATCGACCCCGACCACTTGTCCACCAGCTTATCTATGCGGATCTGTGGCACAACAGAAACCAGGGGCGCATTCAGAAACCAGGGGCGCAAAAAGTATTGCAACGGAAAACGGAAACAAGCGTTTCTTATTGGAGAAATTCAGGCAGTCCCTTCCCTGCTTTGGTCTCTAGTGAATTCTCTCACTCTCTTTTAGATTATAGGAACATTTAATATTTTTACATTTTACATTATTCATCTCAAGCTACAGTCCATCAGACCCCAATGGAAATGCACTAATCTATTCATTCACACCCTGTGGCTGTAACATATGAATATTCGGTAACACTTCACTTGACACCCAGCGTCATAACATGTTATGACGGGGCGGGATGCTAACCAAATTAACGTAACCAGTTATGACAGCTGGTGTCAGCAATGACAGCTGTTATGTCATTACTATGACAGTGCTATGTAGGCTATTCCTTATGAGCATTCAAATTAAGAATGACCAGACAAATGTTATTATTGTTGTAAAACACCTTGATCTAAGCCCCTCGTTTCAACTCCTTCCAAGCATTCACATATCTCAGTATCGGAGCAAGTGATTGGCCGCACCTCAAACATCTCGTTGTGTCGAAGTGGCCGGTTGGTCATGACCACGCCGTTGTTGAACTCGTCCAGCGGTCGCCGCCTCTCGGCCGTCTTGTTGTTGTTGCTCAGCTTGATCAGTGTGCCGCACTTCTCGTGGAACAGCAGCGCATCATTGGTTAGCATCCCGCCCGTCAGTGCCCCGGGTCTCGCCCCTCCGCCGCCTGCAGGGCTGTTATTGACGCTTCCAGTATTGCCGGTCCCGCCCCCGCTGTCACTACTGTTAACGGATCCCCCTCCGCTGATGCTCCCCCTGTCCCCTCTACTTCCTGTTCCTGAGTCTGTCCCTGTTCCACCCCCCCCCAGGTCTCCCCCTCCTCCCCCGTTGTCCTCTGAGCGGTAAAGGGATACGATGGCATTGTTTAACACGTCAAAGAGCTGGTGCTCTGTCAGAACTACAGGGGCAGGCGAGAGAAAAATAAAGTGTGTGTGTGAGAGAGTGGAGAGGAAGAGAGATTATGTGAGAGAAAGAAAGAGAGAAAGAGAGACAAAGATGGCGAGTCAGTTGCACAATTGACCAAATGTAACAGAGATTGGGGTAGAGGTTTTAGGGTTTTGATTTTCTTACCAGTCTCAGGCTCTAGGTTGTTGGGGAGCTTGTCAGGTCGGTTATGAGTAGGAGGGAGCTCAGGCACTGAGACAAAGCAGGAAGGAGAAGACAAACCCTCTTTCCCTCATTACTACACCCTTTCACACGATGACACAACAAACCCTCCATTTCAATAGATAAACATTGTCAACAAAAACATCAACAACCTCCTACCTTCCTCTATCGTCCCGTTTGTCGCCGCTGCCAGGATCACCACTGACGTCAGACCCCCGACGTCCCCCTCCCTGACCCCGCACACCACCACCTCCTCTTCCACCTCCTCTTCCACCTCCTCCACCGTCTCCCTCTCAGTGTCTCTCTCCGCCAAGGACGGCGGCTCGCAGCTCACCACAGTCACTTGCGTACACTTGCCGTAGAGGTCCACCACCGCCCAGAGGCCCGTCGGGAGACCACTGGCAGCTGCGCCACAGTCCTGCCCGTTCACCCACAGGTGGAGCTCGCCGTGGGCGCTCCGCTGTACAGTAGAACAGAAACAAGAAAAGTGATAACTCATTGTCCATTTTTTGAGAAACAGACATTTGACTTCTGGCTAGCCTATCTAAACCTCCCCAAATACACAGAGAATTGAGAGGCACAGGGTCAGCCATGAAGCAGCGCCGCTGGATGGAGAGCAATTGTAGAGATTGAGTGCCTTGCTCAAGGGCACAACGGCAAGGATCAGAGACCAGTACACCTTCTGTTACCAATTCAGTACCTTGCCTGGGGCTTGAACCGGCGACCTTCCGGCCACTAGTCCGCCTTGCTAAGCCAATAGGCTACCTACCTGTATGCCCACACGGTCGCCCTCAGACAGCTGGTCCAGGTCGCGGCCGTACTCCTCGAGGACGGAGCGGCCGTCACGTAGCACCGAGCAGCCAGACACGATCCAGGAGCCTCCCTTCAGACCCGTAGCGCTGCTGGGGAAGTCGAGACCAGCCGGGTCCAGAGACGTCACCCCGATCTCTATGGAGCCGCTCCAAGAGTTCACCTGTAGCAGGAAGAGAAGGGTGTGTTTATCTACATTTATTTATTCATCTATTAATTTATTGGTCAATTTTGACATTTAGTCAGTTATGTTCAATAGATTGTATAGATTAGTAAGCCTACACGTCATTCCAAATGAGTTTATTTACTTTTTCCTCTGTTAGATGGGTCGGTTGTTTAGCAACAAAAGCGTTGGGTGCACAACTATGAGGCAAGACAGACAGGGTGGGCTTAGACTGTTGACAATATGTAAACTACACTGCTCAAAAAAATAAAGGGAACACTAAAATAACACATCCTAGACCTGAATGAATGAAATAATCTTATTAAATACTTTTTTCTTTACATAGTTGAATGTGCTGACAACAAAATCACACAAAAATGATCAATGGAAATCAAATTTATCAACCCATGGAGGTCTGGATTTGGAGTCACCCTCAAAATTAAAGTGGAAAACCACACTACAGGCTGATCCAACTTTGATGTAATGTCCTTAAAACAAGTCAAAATGAGGCTCAGTAGTGTGTGTGGCCTCCACGTGCCTGTATGACCTCCCTACAACGCCTGGGCATGCTCCTGATGAGGTGGCGGATGGTCTCCTGAGGGATCTCCTCCCAGACCTGGACTAAAGCATCCGCCAACTCCTGGACAGTCTGTGGTGCAACGTGGCGTTGGTGGATGGAGCGAGACATGATGTCCCAGATGTGCTCAATTGGATTCAGGTCTGGGGAACGGGCGGGCCAGTCCATAGCATCAATGCCTTCCTCTTGCAGGAACTGCTGACACACTCCAGCCACATGAGGTCTAGCATTGTCTTGCATTAGGAGGAAACCAGGGCCAACCGCACCAGCATATGGTCTCACAAGGGGTCTGAGGATCTCATTTCGGTACCTAATGGCAGTCAGGCTACCTCTGGCGAGCACATGGAGGGCTGTGCGGCCCCCCAAAGAAATGCCACCCCACACCATGACTGACCCACTGCCAAACCGGTCATGCTGGAGGATGTTGCAGGCAGCAGAACGTTCTCCACGGCGTCTCCAGACTCTGTCACGTCTGTCACATGTGCTCAGTGTGAACCTGCTTTCATCTGTGAAGAGCACAGGGCGCCAGTGGCGAATTTGCCAATCTTGGTGTTCTCTGGCAAATGCCAAACGTCCTGCACGGTGTTGGGCTGTAAGCACAACCCCCACCTGTGGACGTCGGGCCCTCATACCACCCTCATGGAGTCTGTTTCTGACCGTTTGAGCAGACACATGCACATTTGTGGCCTGCTGGAGGTCATTTTGCAGGGCTCTGGCAGTGCTCCTCCTGCTCCTCCTTGCACAAAGGCGGAGGTAGCGGTCCTGCTGCTGGGTTGTTGCCCTCCTACGGCCTCCTCCACGTCTCCTGATGTACTGGCCTGTCTCCTGGTAGCGCCTCCATGCTCTGGACACTACGCTGACAGACACAGCAAACCTTCTTGCCACAGCTCGCATTGATGTGCCATCCTGGATGAGCTGTACTACCTGAGCCACTTGTGTGGGTTGTAGACTCCGTCTCATGCTACCACTAGAGTGAAAGCACCGCCAGCATTCAAAAGTGACCAGAACATCAGCCAGGAAGCATAGGAACTGAGAAGTGGTCTGTGGTCACCACCTGCAGAACCACTTCTTTATTGGGGGTGTCTTACTAATTGCCTATCATTTCCACCTGTTGTCTATTCCATTTGCACAACAGCATGTGAAATGTATTGTCAATCAGTGTTGCTTCCTAAGTGGACAGTTTGATTTCACAGAAGTGTGATTGACTTGGAGTTACATTGTGTTGTTTAAGTGTTCCCTTTATTTTTTTGAGCAGTGTATATGTCTCCAAATGTTTCTTGAAAACATAAATACCTTTGCACAATGAGCACTTGTCTCAAATACATCGTTACAGTTCTTGGATAGCTAGCGAATTTTAGCATAGACATGACATCAGTCAAAACAAGACATGGTATCAATAACAAGATACAACGAGCTGAAAAGAGCCACCTACGATTCCCCACATGGCAGCTTCTTGTCATTGTTGCTAGCTATCTGACCGTTCAGTCTTCCGGCCACATCCATGCGCACGCTTCATTTTTGTCATGTTGTCAGACAACCAGTCTATTAGGTCTATCTTTATTGAGTCCTTTTTAACATTTATTTACACTTTATCTATTAACAGTCAACTCCTAATAATGGCACATTATGTGAACAACAAACAGAGAATCAAACTGAGTCAATCAAATCAAATCAAGTCAGTAAAGGCATCACAGTAAAATCTTAGGCCTACAGGAGAAGTCAGGTCAGCTGGGTTAAACCAGGAGTCAATAATATACTGTAAACTAAGCCAGAGGATTCATATCTAGAGGGGTTTTACAGGGCTGTGTCATGTCTGTTAGCTAGGTTTTCAGATTTATGATAATGTACTTGCTGGGATGGATGCCGGAATGCCAGATCTTGTGATTTTTTGTATGACAGTATTACATGATGTGTAGGCCAAAGTCAACACCGGCACCACAAAACCATTCTGTCATTGCGTGCCCTTGGAAAGTGTGAATGATCACGAGGTGTGTATCAATTTCATTCATTGAATGCACACAGAGTGGAACTGCACACTCAAATCTGTCATTTGAAACATTAAAACATACAATTCAATGTGTCAAAAAGAGCGTTTTTAAAACCACTATAGCTTCTTCTCACCATGCCAATATTTTGCTCTTACCTCCCCACCCAAACGCTCTCACCATCTCTTTCCTGTCTGTCTTGTCTTCCTCCAGTTGGTTAGATGCTAGGGCTAGGCTATGTAAGAGAGTTACAACAGTCCAGGGATCTGAGTTACAGATCTAGACTAAGCCTAAGACTGGCAATGCCTTACCGTGTGGAAGGCATAGAATTAGGAATTAGAATACTAGAATGGACATGAATGTTCTTATGATGGTATACTCCCGAGTCCATATTCACGTAATAAGGAATTCCCATCGACCACACATTTGGGAAAACATTATTTCCTATTGACCCCCATTGTAAAAGAGCCAACTTCGTCGTTGATTATTTGTTATACAGAAATAACAGAACATGCCTGAAAAACTGCTGTGCCGTTATTATTTCCCCACAGTTGGGCAGGGCTGCGACATTCTATCTAATACTGACTGGGACTATAAAGGTCAGCCATTTTGGTCAGGGAGTTTGCCAACCATTGTTTGCCAGTGCTGTGATAAGATAAAATAATGAATTTGAAGAATTTACACTACATGACCAAACGTATGTGGACACCTGCTCGTCGAACATCTAATTCCAAACTCATGGGCTTTAATATAGAGTTGGTCCCCCCATTTGCCTCTACAACAGCCTCCACTCTTCCGGGAAGGCTTTCTACTAGATGTTGTAACATTGCTGCGGGAACTTGCTTCCATTCAGCCACAAGAGCATTAGTGAGGTCGGGCACTAATGTTGGGCGATTATGCCTGGCTCGCAGTCGGCGTTCCAATTAATCCCAAAGGTGTTCGATGGTGTTGAGGTCAGGGCTCTGTACAGGCCAGTCAAGTTCTTCCACACAGATGTCGACAAATCATTTCTGTATGGACTTCGCTTTGTGCACGGGGGCATTGTCATGCTGAAACAAGAATGGGCCTTCCCCAAACTGTTGCCACAAAGTTGTAAGCACAGAATCGTATATAATGTCATCATACGCTTTAGCATTAAGATTTCCCTTCACTGGAACTAAGGGGCCTAGCCCGAACCATGAAAAACAGTCCCAGACCATTATTCCTCCTCCACCAAACCTTACAGTTGGCACTATGCATTCGGGCAGGTAGCATTCTCCTGGCATCCGCCAAACCCAGAGTCTTCCGTCGGACTGCCAGATGGTGAAGCGTGATTCATCGCTCCAGAGAACGCGTTTCCACTGCTCCAGAGTCCAATGGTGGCGAGCTTTACACCACTTCAGCCGACGCTTCGCATTGCGCATGGTGATCTTAGGCTTGTGTGCGGCTGCTCGGCCATGGAAACCCATTTCATGAAGCTCACGACGATTAGTTATTGTGCTGATGTTGCTTCCAGAGGCAGTTTGGAACCCGATAGTGAGTGTTGCAACCGAGGACAGACGATTTCTACGCGCTTCAGCGGTCCTGTTCTGTGAGCTTGTGTGGCCTACCACTTCGCGGCTGAGCCGTTGTCGCTCCTAGACGTTTCCACTTCACAATAACAGCACTTACAGTTGACCGGGGCAGTTCTCGCAGGGCAGAAATTTGACGAACTGACTTGTTGGAAAGGTGGCATCCTATGTTGAAAGTCACTGAGCTCTTCAGTAAGGCCATTCTACTGTCAATGTTTGTCTATGGCGATTGAATGGCTGTGTGCTCTATTATATACACACTGTCAGCAACAGGTGTGGCTGAAATAGCCGAATCCACTAATCTGAAGGGGTGTCCACATACTTTTGTATATATAGTGTACCTGCACTGTATGTTTGTTAGCTAACCAGCCAGTTTTAGAGGAATGATTCCATAAATGTGTCTAACTGCCAATATGCCAACATTCCATTCAAACAATGCAGTCAATCCCCAGCCATATACTGGCTGACAACAGTTGATGATAGAACTTAGACAAGTTGTAAATGCAACAAGTACTGATATTGTATCATACAATAGCACTCACAGCTTTCCAAGAAAACTAAAACTGAGACATTTATGGTCTGTTTACATATATTTTAGAGGCTATTTATACAGAGAATTGGTATAAAACCCATATAAACTGTATTTATAATTATAAACTATATTTTATGTTGACAATAATTATATTACACAATTTCTGATATATCACATGCCTTACTTTTATTTTCCCGCTTTATTATTTATTACGGCCATTGAGATGTTAGCTATTAAAATCAGATCCAACAATAATATCAAGGGATTAGAAATCCAGGGCTTAAAAACAAAGGTGTCATTATACGCTGATTTTGGTTTTCGTCAGGCATTACTGGAACCATGTCGTCCAAAAAGTTATACTTTTGAATCATCTGTCCATGGAACGTTCTTCCAAGAGTCTTGATGATCATCCAGGTGCTTTTTGGCAAACTTGAGTCTACTTTTTGGACGAGATGGATCCAATTATGCCTGGCGAAAACCAAACACTGCATTCCACAGTAAGAACATCATACCAAAGGTCAAGCATTGTGGTGGTGGTGTGATGGTTTGGGGATGCTTTGCTGCCTCAGGACCTGGACGACTTGCCTTAATAGAAGGAACCATGAATTCTGCTCTGTATCAGAGAATTCTACAGGAGAATGTCAGACCATCCGTCTGTGAGCTGAAGCTGAAGCGCAGCTGGGTCATGCAGCAAGACAATGATCCAAAACACACAAGTCTACATGAAAATTGCTAAAAAGCAACAAATTTGAAGTTTTGGAATAACCTAGTCAAAGTCCAGACCTAATCCCAATTGAGATGTTGTGGCAGGACTTGAAACTAGCAGTTCATGCTTGAAAACCCACACGTCACTGAGTTAAAGCAGTTCTGCATGGAAGAGTGGGCCAAAATTTCTCCACAGCAACGTGAGAGACTGATCAACAACTACAGGAAGCATTTGGTTGGAGTCATTGCAGCTAAAGGTGGCACAACCAGTTATTGAGTGTAAGGGGGCAATTACTTTTTCACACAGGGGAATTGGGTGTTGCGTAACTTTGTTTATGAAATAAATATGTAATTGTTGTGTTATTTGTTCACTTATGTTCCCTTTATCTAATATTAGGTTTTGGTTGAAGATCTGATCTACTGACAACATTTCTCCCAAATTCCAAATACAAATATTGTCATTTAGAGCATTTATTTGCAGAAAATGTTCAAAACTGGTCAAAATAACAAAAAAGTGTTGTCAGACCTCAAATAATGCAAAGAAAATAAGTTTATTTTTAAACAACACAATACTAATGTTTTAACTTAGGAAGAGTTCAGAAATCAATATTTGGTGGAATAACACTGATTTTCAATCACAGCTTTCATGCGTCTTGGCATGATCTCCACCAGTCTTTCACATTGATGTTGGGTGACTTTATGCCACTCCTGGCGCAAAAATTCAAGCAGCTCGGCTTTGTTTGATTGCTTGTGACCATCCATCTTCCTCTTGATCACATTCCAGAAGTTTTCAATGGGGTTCAGGTCTGGAGATTGGGCTGGCCATGACAGGGTCTTGATCTGGTGGTCCTCCATCCACACCTTGATTGACCTGGCTGTGTGACATGGCGCATTGTCCTGCTGGAAAAACCAATCCTCAGAGTTGGGGAACAATGTCAGAGCAAAAGGAAGCAAGTTTTCTTCCAGGACAACCTTGTACGTGGCTTGATTCATGCGTCCTTCACAAAGACAAATCTGCCCGATTCCAGCCTTGCTGAAGCACCCCCAGATCATCACCGATCCTCCACCAAATTCCACAGTGGGTGCGAGACACTGTGGCTTGTAGGCCTCTCCAGGTCTCCGTCTAACCATTAGACGACCAGGTGTTGGGCAAAGCTGAAAATTGGACTCAACAGAGAAGATGACCTTACTCCAGTCCTCTACGGTCCAATCCTTATGGTCTTTTGCAAACCTCAGCCTGGCTCTTCTTTGCTTCTCATTGATGAAGGGCTTTTTTCTAGCTTTGCACGACTTCAGCCCTGCCCCTAGGAGCCTGTTTCGAACCGTCCTCGCCGTGCATGTCACCCCAGCTGCCGTTTGCCATTCTTTTTGTAGGTCACTTGATGTCCTCCTACGGTTGTTGAGTGACATTCGAATTAGTTGGCGGTCAGTAGAGAGTCGTTTTCGCCCTCTGCCGGTCTGTAGCTTTGTTGTCCCCAATGTCTGCTGCTTGACCTTGTTCTTATGAACCGGCGTCTTTGAAATGTTAAGGATGGAAGCAATCTGACGCTCACTGTATCCCTCTGCCATTAAAGCCAGAATTGAACCCTTCTTTTCCTCACTCACAACTTTCCTTTTCAACTCTTTTGGCATGGTCAATAGTTATTTTTTCATTAATATTACTTTTGAGGTACTATTAGCACTGTTTTTGCCATCCAGCTGGTCCTATTGCAAGATGATAGTGATACTTATACTTTTCCTCGTTAAATAAGATTTGGTTCAGATGATCACCTAATCAGTACCTAATTCAGTAGAATGAGGTGTGCCTGTGTTGGAATTCAACAGACACTAAAATGGAATGGCTGTCACACATGTAGAGATGCTGATTTAAGAAAAATTTGCAGTGGTCTCTTAATTTTTCCACAGCTATATATATATATTTATTTATTTGCGAGAGAAAAAAACATGGGGGATTGGAAGTGATGCAGACAATTACATTGTTGGAAGTTACAATCTATCTGCAATATTAAAGCTGATCTACCCCCTAAAAAAATTTTTTTTATCTGGATTATGCCTCTCCTGCCATTCATTCCAATTAGACTGGTTTAGATTTCTCCCTAAAGAAAATGGCTGCCATTTTCACCCCATTCTGGAAGTTTGAGGGTTTATGACATAGTCCATGGTTCCCCAACTGGTGGCAGGCATGGTGACTTTATTTGGCTCCCAAAGTTCTCTGTTGGACATAAAAGACTAAAAACACCAGCACTGTTCCAAAGTATTTCCACGCATAATAGTGAGATATATGTGATCGTATGTAAATGTAAGCGAGGTTTCAAATTATTATGTTTTAGTCAAATATTGTATCTGTTTGAGCTTCTTGCATTCAATTTTCAGTATTCAAATTCTTTGTAATTATGTTCCGGCAACCTGACCATCCACTCCAGAATAAAATCTAACCGCGGCTGAATCGAGTTGATGATCCCTGACATAGCCCCTCTAGTAATTTAATCGGATCACTATGGTGGAAAGAGAAGATAACTCTCTCTCCATCTCCATCATCCACTCACATAGCCACCCAAGTCCATCTCGAAACAACACAGTATGTGAGATGTGTAAATTCAAATGTTGCAATCAGGCCCTCTCTCAGTCTCTCTCATACACATACAAACAAACACAAGCACACTCATATCCATTTCGCTCTCTTTCTAGTCATATGTACGCGATAGGCATGGCATACATCGTCCAAGGAAATGCTGCAAGTAATACCATGCATATCCCGTACATACGACTAATAAAACTTGAAACACATCTGCAAACGAAAGTGTACACAAACACAGAAAAACAAACACAGATCTGTGAACAATCCGCTGCAGCTCCTTATCTCTCTGACACACACACTGCAAAGACAGCAACCGGGGGGGATAGCCAGGCAGGTAGGCACATACTACTGCTTACCAAACTACTGTCCCGCATATACGCTACTGTCAACATTACCAACACCATAATATTCCACCCAGAACAAACTGATGGGTCGTTCCACCTCCAAAAACAAAAGCAAGAGGATTTCAACACTCACCATCTCAGATTGTTCTGAAATCATTTGTTGTTAGAAACAGGTAAGATTAACATTATTTTGTTGAAATTTTAATTTAAAAGAATCCCCCCCATTGTTAAAGGGATAGTTCACCCAAATTACATTGTGGTTTTCTTACCCTGTCAGCAGTCAATGGACCAGGTATGACAGCAATCCATGCTTTGGTTTTGTTTACCTGATCACTGTTTCAAACACTAACTTTTTAGCATTTGTGTCAGAAATCCAGTGCAAGTCAATGGTACCTATATAGGCATTTTCACGCTTCATGTCCAAATCATCCTAAAGTATCTAAAAATGGATTGTGTAACTCAATGATGTTACTTATAGATTATTTGGTTATGAAGCGTGAAAATGCATTGCATATATCAATCTACTAGCTTGGTTTTGGTGCATTTGGACGGGACACAAGAGCAAGCTCAATCAATGTGAATTCACTACAAGCATTACTGTAGCAACAATGCCACGTTTGTTGCACTAACACAGATATTGATATCCCTCATGCAATTCCGGATAGGGGTCCATTATAACTTCGATACATGTGATGATACTGGCCATGAAACTATCATCAGTGAGAAGACATATCGGGTCACTCAGTGTTGGGAGGAAGTAAGGCCTATCTGTTAATGTTATCTGTCTAGCTAGCTATGCTCTTCATGTGAAGGCTTGCTGTATGAGTGTTATCCATGTAGCTAGATAGTGATTTCTAGCCCTTGATCATGACTCTCTGTTCCATTACATTACACATAAGAGTCATTGGACGAAGATGTCTTCTGCACGGGGGAGTTTTGTTAAGAGCCCCGACTCTCAATCTGAACATTAACACACATCGCTTGCGGTATGGTATTGGAAGCATAAGGACCTTATCTTTCATACCTGTGAGAAATAATTTTCAAAGAACAAAAGGTTAAATTGATACACACCTTGATAGGGTTTGTGTTCCCACACGGCCATATCTCCATGTTACAGCGCTTGTTTACGGAAAACAGACGGAAGACAAGAGGCGACCACCTGTGCTAATTAACCATCTAGCATGCTACAAACGCCTGTGTGTAAGCGTAACTCGGGAAGTGTAGCTTCGTCGGATGGAGGCACCCATAGCTGTATGGATCTGTGCAAAACTGCGACAGTAAGCGTATCTTTTTTATTTGAAAGATTCTTTATCGCTGATGAAAGATAAGGACCATATGTTCCGTTGCCCTCTACAGTGGGGAAAAAAGTATTTAGTCAGCCACCAATTGTGCAAGTTCTCCCACTTAAAAAGATGAGAGGCCTGTAAAATCATAGGTACACGTCAACTATGACAGACAAATTGAGGAAAAAAAACCCAGAAAATCACATTGTAGGATTTTTAATGAATTTATTTGCAAATTATGGTGGAAAATAAGTATTTGGTCACTTACAAACAAGCAAGATTTCTGGCTCTCACAGACCTGTAACTTCTTCTTTAAGAGGCCCGTCTGTCCTCCACTCGTTACCTGTATTAATGGCACCTGTTTGAACTTGTTATCAGTATAAAAGACACCTGTCCACAACCTCAAACAGTCACACTCCAAACTCCACTATGGCCAAGACCAAAGAGCTGTCAAAGGACACCAGAAACAAAATTGTAGACCTGCACCAGGCTGGGAAGACTGAATCTGCAATAGGTAAGCAGCTTGGTTTGAAGAAATCAACTGTGGGAGCAATTATTAGGAAATGGAAGACATACAAGACCACTGATAATCTCCCTCGATCTGGGGCTCCACGCAAGATCTCACCCCGTGGGGTCAAAATTATCACAAGAACGGTGAGCAAAAATCCCAGAACCACACGGGGGGACCTAGTGAATGACCTGCAGAGAGCTGGGACCAAAGTAACAAAGCCTACCATCAGTAACACACTACGCCGCCAGGGACTCAAATCCTGCAGTGCCAGACGTGTCCCCCTGCTTAAGCCAGTACATGTCCAGGCCCGTCTGAAGTTTGCTAGAGTGCATTTGGATGATCCAGAAGAGGATTGGGAGAATGTCATATGGTCAGATGAAACCAAAATAGAACTTTTTGGTAAAAACTCAACTCGTCGTGTTTGGAGGACAAAGAATGCTGAGTTGCATCCAAAGAACACCATACCTACTGTGAAGCATGGGGTTGGAAACATCATGCTTTGGGGCTGTTATTCTGCAAAGGGACCAGGACGACTGATCCGTGTAAAGGAAAGAATGAATGGGGCCATGTATCGTGAGATTTTGAGTGAAAACCTCCTTCCATCAGCAAGGGCATTGAAGATGAAACGTGGCTGGGTCTTTCAGCATGACAATGATCCCAAACACACCTCCCGGGCAACAAAGGAGTGGCTTCGTAAGAAGCATTTCAAGGTCCTGGAGTGGCCTAGCCAGTCTCCAGATCTCAACCCCATAGAAAATCTTTGGAGGGAGTTTAAAGTCCGTGTTGCCCAGCGACAGCCCCAAAACATCACTGCTCTAGAGGAGATCTGCATGGAGGAATGGGCCAAAATACCAGCAACAGTGTGTGAAAACCTTGTGAAGACTTACAGAAAACGTTTGACCTGTGTCATTGCCAACAAAGGGTATATAACAAAGTATTGAGAAACTTTTGTTATTGACCAAATACTTATTTTCCACCATAATTTGCAAATAAATTCATTAAAAATCCTACAATGTGATTTTCTGGGTTTTTTTTCCTCAATTTGTCTGTCATAGTTGACGTGTACCTATGATTTTACAGGCCTCTCATCTTTTTAAGTGGGAGAACTTGCACAATTGGTGGCTGACTAAATATTTTTTTCCCCCCACTGTATATAGGGGCGGCAGGTCGCTTAGTGGTTAAGAGCGTTGTGCCAGTAACCGAAAGGTCGCTGGTTCTAATCCCCGAGCCGACTAGATGAAAAATCTGTCGATGTGCCCTTGAGCAAGGCACTTAACCCTAATTGCTCTGGATAAGAGCGTCTGCTAAATGACCAATTATTATTATTACTGTATATGTGTTCACTGAGCTGTGTGCCACCCAGGCTAAATTGGCATAGGAGGAAACAGTACTAATGCCCTCTGCCAACAACCCACAGAGGTGTGAGGGGCACTGACTACTCATGATATGTTGTTGACACACCACCAGGCCAGCAGACCGGTAATCATGGCAACAGACCGGCTATCTGCCATTATAATTGGATAACAGGCAAACTAGGTGCTGCGGTTGGCATAGAGATAAGGAGTCTAAATGCTGCATAGGCAGGTAGACCTATAACAACAGTAACTAACTGTTAGCCTAAGACTACATTCTGATAAATTAGGGCTCAAAACAATGTGCATCACTAAGAAACTACAGCTATGTTTTTCAGGAATGAGCCTGTGCATAATAGGGAGAAGTTTTCCCCTAGCCAACGGACACAGACGGGTCAGTTGTTTTTGTCAACATTTGTCAATTGTCTGACCATAGAGCTGTGGTTAGGGGTGAATGCAACTTCTACCTCGAGGTGACCATGCACCAACTAGGATAAGACTGAGATCTGCTTTGCCCTTTACTCCCAGTCTTTTTCTTATCAAGACCACCGATAATATATTAAATGGGGTTCTATGCATCTATGGTCAAGACCACAGTAGTGCCATAGGGCCTACCTGACAGATAGGTTAACTTGAATCAACCAGTATGCTTCTCTCGTCTAGTTGTCATTAGGTAGACGTCCTCTGACTACTAGCTGGACATGTCACTAACTGAACTGCTGCTGTCAACCAAGTGACTGTTGCTAGCTAGCTAGAGTGCTGCTGTCAAAAATGTTGGTCGTGGTAATAATAGGCACTTGACTAAACTAGTCACTAACTAGCTAGCTAACGTTAACTTAGTGTTTTGACAGTGATGCACCTGCTGGTTCGATCAACACACCAAAAAAGCTCGCTAATACGATAACGTCAGCTATAACTTAGATAACTACTGTAGAGCTAGACTTAGTCGGTAGCAAAGACATAGCTAGTTAGCCATCTAAACTAGCTAACTAGCTAGCCACCTTCAAAAACATATTGACGGGACCACACAAACAGCACCCCATGCTAGCTCGCTAATTCTGTTCAACAATGTCAGTTGTCAATGGGCCGTTACAAAAATATGTTAGTACATTTTGGACAGGATATAGCTAAAATTATAGCTGTAAATCCTGTACTGCTTGATTGTCATACAGCGCACGCCCAAGCAGCAAGGAATAGAAGGTACGAGCACCACTGCGGACAACAGAGACCCCGTCCCACTGACACTAACGTTAGTTGCACTCTCCCCCCATCCGAAAGTGACAGTTCTATTTACCTTCTTGTCAATACGGACGGTGAATACATCGCGGTCTTTCAGCGGCTCTCTGCTTAGAACCAAACCGTGGTTAAATTCCTGGACTGGTTGGTTCCGCTGAGCGGTTCGGTTCGAATTCGACAGTCCGATTAGCTTTCCGCTACACGGGTGCAGCTCAGCCGCCATCTTCACAGGGGCGGCTTGCTTCGCGACACACGGGTTTGCGACAATATAAAGCTCTTTTATTTTTTTGCATGTAAATCCAAATACACGCCCACTTATTTTTCGAAGAACGGTATAAGGTCAAGCAAGCAACATTTCTATATGGAAGTGTGTAGCCCGCTTTCTCTCGACAAAAAATCTTGACAATCAACAGAACATTTATCACTGATTTCCGAGAATGGGCCTTGTTTTATATGCATACTTCTGCCATAAACTTAATATAAACGCTTTGAAACCAGGAATTTCAAGCACATAGAACTGACCGTTTCTGGTTCATTCAGCATCCAGACAGGCAGCACTATATAAGGCATGCATTTTGCTACAATGATACTGTTAATTAATAATACCTATATTAAAATAAAGATAAATCATTGATCGCAGTGTGTGAGTCAGCTGGATATTGCAAATCCAAGTCATTATGATGGCTTTACATGAGTATGCCTTGGTCACTGAATGGGGCATTATCAATTGCTGTGTATTGAAATATCACATTATTTTATGGAAATAATTTCGCCCAAACTTGTGCTATGAACAGTGGCGGCTCCTGAAAAAATTCTCAGGAGGGGCAATTTTTCTGATGATTTAGGTGACCTACACACATTTTTAAAAAGATATGTCCAGCAACAACATGAAGACAGGGGCAGCATATAAGTCAATACCAGAAGCATTTATTGACTGATCTCAAAAGTGTTGGCTTACAAAAGCAAAATAAGTTATCACAGTAAAAATAATCAAGGGTGTTCTTTCACATTCCTCAACACTGCATAAACAATATGTATGGCTTTGTAAAAATGAACAACCATATTCTGGCCAATTGTATAGATTTGTAAATATGAACAACCATATTCTGGCCAATTGTATAGATTTGTAAAAATGAACATGAACAGATTTTTTATTTTTTTGAATGGCAGTACCTTTCAAACATGTCTGCTTGCAGTAAGGTAGCACTCACAAGGTGGCCAGAGAAAGAGAACCTTTCTTTGGTGTGATCCAGGATGGTGTTGCAGACCTCTTCAGACAGCCTCTGCTTCTCCTCTTCTCTCAAAGCTGTTCTGGGTCTTTTGGCTCCTGTTGCTTCTTGCAGCTGCGGTTGAGAGGAGTCCCTGAAGGCAAACAGACCAATGTGTTTGTTGGCTTTGTACAGTATTGTTGTCTATGTGATGCACAGGTATATGCAATGTATCCATGTATAGTACAAATACTTCAGTTCCACTTAAAATGGGCAGGGATGCATAAAGTCTTTAGTGTTTAAGTTAGCCTTTGTGTCTCACATAGCCTGGATGTTCAGCACAGTATACAGTGGTGCTCATAAGCTTATGATCCCATGCTAAAGTTGACTAAAAAGAGGAATAAAAAAGAAAAGAAAATTGGTGTCCTTAAAGGTTGGATTTTCCAACTTTTTTAATTAAGTCATTAAGATCAATTTCCAAAAGATGATTTTTTTATTTTTTTATTCCTCTTTTTAGTCAGCTTTAGAATGTGTTCATACACTTATGAGCACCACTGTACAGTACACATAGTATATAAAATAAGATAGATTACACCACTGGCCATATATAATGACAATAATGTAATTTCAAACACAAATGCAGTCTCCTTTCATGCATACATTTTCAAATAAAGCTCTGCTTTGAGAAAGATCGAATGATATTGTTTAATCTTTATCTTACCTTATGGCCTGCACACTGCTTGCGAAGCTGTCGAGGGCACGTTTGATAAAGACAGCATCGATGTCCTTATTCTGTAGCTTCTGGTACGGTGGGCTGGTCAAATGAACCCAATGAACCCGTCCGGATGGCTTCAAAACATTCTATGAGGTCGTCTCGATTCTCGTAGACAGTGTTCACGACTCTGCTGTTGCTAACCTCATCGTTGTGGCGGCGGACAGCTAGCCTGTATCCCTCATCCAGTTGAGTGGCAATATTCACTCTCACCAAAGCAGACAATCTCAAACAGCTATCAATGTGGGTCTTTGACAGCTCATTTTTCTTAATCTTTTCTGAAAGATGGTGCATGTCGGTTACACCAGTCGCTGTCCAAGCGTTGCTGTCTGCCGTTCATGGTTACGTTACGTTACGTATGACGAAAGCGCGTAAGTGCAAGCCCTCAGACACCCATAGAGAATGTATTGAAAGCTCAGAAATGTGAAAAAAAAATATTTTACATTAGAGGCTATGAGAGACTTCTGGGCGATTTTCAACCTGACTGAAATCGCCCCAAAACGGGCGGGGACATTTGAAGCACGACTTTAGCCTGATTGGACATTTAGTGGCTGGCAGATCAGACGTGAACACTGAACTACTGTTGCCATGATATAATTGATTAGAAAAAAAATCCCTTCCTTTTCCCGTTTGGCAGTGCGTCGCCCATATCGCCCTATTGAACACACCGCCCATGGCTATGAAGAAAACATTTGTACAGTGAAAGACTGCATTATAGAGTACCACAGTATGAGTCATAATACCCATAAAACATACACGAAACACAACCCTTATTTTAAGTGTTTCTAAAATTCTCTATGGGAAAAATGAAATCTGTAAAAACGATTGGAACCATTTCCCTGTTGGACCGCTAGGTTTTATAGGTTTTATGACAGCTCCACTGCTCTATTTCCTTCACTGTTTCATTGGAAAAGTTGCAGATATCTTGCTACAAGATGGTAGCCTCGCTGTTAAGCGCGCTGGGCCGGAAACCGAAAGGTTGCTGGTTCAAATCCCCGAGTTGACTAGGTGGAAAATCTGTATATGTTCCCTTGAGGAAGGCACTTAACCCAAATTGCTCCTGTAAATCGCTCTGGATAGCTCAGTTGGTAGAGCATGGCGCTTGCAACGCCAGGGTTGTGGGTTCATTTCCCACGGGGGGGCAGTATGAAAAATGGATGCACTCACTAACTGTATGTCGCTCTGGATAAGAGCGTCTGCTAAATGACTTAAATGGATAAGGGCGTCGCCTAAATTACTAAAACATTAAGATGTACATAAATTTTGACATCCAATACAGCAGGTGGCAGTAATGCACCTTTCTATGTCATGTCAAGCTGGCAGAAGAATATATCCACTGTACTGTCTTTGATATATCCGTGTGTTGTTGTACTTTTGAACTTCATCAGTTTTGTGTTCAACATTTAACATTAGCGGTTGATAGTTAACTAGCAAATACAAGATGTGGCAGCCCGAGCCATTCCATAATGAGTTGGTCTCTATTATGGATGAATTAATGATGTCATTGGAGGAGGAAATTGACAAATGTATGGCGGTCTCGGTCTCCTCAACACAATACAGCACAGACATTGATGCAGGAGAGACAGGGGAAATTGAAAGAGAATCCAAGTTGGAGGTAAAAGTAAGTGGCCGACTTTACTTCTAAAAATACAAAATGTTATCTTACGTGCTACTCATTTGTTTTATATAAACAGCTTGGATACAGCTTGTTGTTGAATGAAACATAAGTAGCCTGTTCTCTGATTGTAGGTCCAGTTGACATGTGTGATGAAACAGACTATCACCAAAATTAACCAGTTGATCTCCAAATGCACTGCAGCCCTGCGTTCAGCGTTATGCCAGAGTCAAAGTGAGATGAAATCTCTGAAAATGAAGTTATTGGAGATGGCTGATGGTAAGAAAATACCTGAAAAGACAGTGGGAAGAGCCCCACATACTGTGGAAGAGGAGGAATGGACAGAAGCACCATTATCACCAGAGTTTGCAGAGGATTTTGAGGTATGTTATATTTTACATGTTTGCAAGAATTGTGCAGTTTGACCATGGGGCTGAAGTTATCTGTGGGAATGAGCCTTTTACTATTATTATCCTTGAATCCCAGGACTGACTGGTAATGCCATTGTACCCTTGGGCACTGCTCTGCGACTGAGTTAGAATTCCAAAAATTGCAATCCTTTTTCAGGTTGACATTCTAACTCCCAGTGTTGAGGCTGCCAACACTACAAAATGCAAGAAGGAGACCACAATCAGAGCTAGAACCATAGAGATGGAACAATGTTTTATATCTCTGGCTAAAATACCTTCCTCCTCACTCACTGAGTCTATCAAACAGTTGGCTAGTACAGACAAAAAGGCAGCATGCAGGCCTACAGACAAAAAGGCAGCAAGCAGGCCTACAGACAAAAAGGCAGCAAGCAGGCCTACAGACAAAAAGGCAGCAAGCAGGCCTACAGACAAAAAGGCAGCAAGCAGGCCTACAGACAAACAGTCAGCAAGCAGGCCTACAGACAAAAAGGCAGCAAGCAGGCCTACAGACAAACAGTCAGCAAGCAGGCCTACAGACAAACAGTCAGCAAGCAGGCCTACAGACAAACAGGCAGCTAGTACAGACAAACAGTACAGACAAACTAGTACAGATAAACAGTCAGCAAGCAGGCCTACAGACAATCAGGCCCCAAGTACAGACCCCCAAACTCCCAGTGGGAACTCTGTGATGTCCACCAGACCCAGGAGGAAGAAGAAGAGAACAGAAGCACAACCCATGGTGGCAGAATCAGACGGAAGTGAGGAAAATGCCAATGATGACCAATGGGAGGAGGAGAATGCTAAAGCTGGACAAACCTCGAATGACGAATCTGTTCACAACATAAAGCAAAGGCCCAACATAAAAAAAAACAAGACTACCACCACCAGGAAAGAGCACCACTGTCTGGACTGCGGTAAGGTTTTTAAGAATTCAAGTAATTTAAAACTGCATCAACAGACTCACACAGGAGAGAGACCTTATTGTTGTGAACTATGTGGGAAATGTTTCCCGACTGCTTGGAAGCTCAGACTACACCAAGCAGTGGTCCACAGAAGGGAGAAGCCGCTTGAGTGTCCAACATGTGGGAAGTGCTTTGCAACAAAGAGTTATTTGGACACTCACGCAAGCGTTCATTCAACAGAGAAACCGTTCCGATGCCTCGTGTGTCAGAAGTGTTTTAAAAGTAAAAAGGGCTTCAAGGAACACACAATGATGCACAGTTCAAATTCAAATTCATATGCTTGTGACAAATGTCCAAAAGCCTTCGTAAAGTTGAAATACCTCAAGAATCACCAGCTAACTCACAGTGGAGGAGGAGCTCACCGTTGTGAATTGTGTGGGAAAGGTTTCAAGTCTCCTTCTCAGCTCAAACAGCACCAATCATCAGTCCATAGGAGAGAGAAGCCATTCCAATGTCCGACATGTGGGAAATGCTTCACAACAAAGACAAATGTGAAAAATCACGCAAGTGTTCATTCAGGAGAGAGAGCATTCCAGTGCCCTCAGTGTCAGATGTGTTTCAAAACCAAGTATACTCTTAACGCCCATAAGAAGACGCACACGGACTCCAAGCCATATGCTTGCGACAAATGCCCAATGACCTTTATTCGGTCGCATTACCTCAGGAGGCATGAAGTCTCGCACCTGACCAGCAAGCCGTTTGCGTGCAGCCACTGTGGGAAAGGCTTCAAAGGTGAACGTGGGCTCAAGAGACACGAACGCACCCACACCGAAGACCCGCCTTATACCTGTGACGAATGTGGCAAGGGTTTCTATCAACACGAATCGTTTCAAGTCCATGCAGCCTTGCACACCGGAGAGAAGCCGTTCACCTGTGATTACTGCAGTAAAACCTTTGCTCTGGCGTCCTACCTTAAAACCCACATAGCGAATCATCACTCTGTCACCAAACCCCACGTCTGTGGGAAATGTGGCAAGAAATATAAGGATTTCACCCATTTCAGAATCCATATGTTTCAGAGTTGTCCAGAGGAGGCTGCGGTGTTGGTTTGACTTAAATGTTTTTCATTGTTATTTTGGAATTGTGAAGTTGTAATATGTTATTTTTTCACTACAGAAATGCATGTTTACTTGCTATGATAGAGCACAGTACCACACATTCGTTTTGAAAATATATTTTATGTATACAGACTTTGGAGTGGATCTATAACCCCCTCTTAAATTACACCCCTGATTGGATGCAGGTTACAACCTGTAACTTTCATTCTGACAATGCTTTGTTATTCATTGTTATTTTGGAATTGTGAATAAAGTTGTAATAAGTTATTGTTTCATTACAAACGTATGTTTAGTTGTTAATCAATATACAATAATAATAGAGCCTATCACCCAGTCACTATTCAATGACGACTCAAGCCCTCAATTCGTTTATTTCACAATAATACCTTGAGCAGACAGACACCCTCCCTGAATTAACACATCTCCATGTTTAGAAGTCATCAAGATCATGAAGGGATGTGAAACATTTTGACAGTTGCCTATAGCATTATAATGAATTGAGCTGACTTGATTCCTTATTCTGACAACCAATCATATCTGTTCTACACGATACGTTTCTGAATCTAACATTATCTAACAACATCTCTCTGAACAGGCCCCAGCTGTGGCCGCTGGAGCTTGTGGTTAGGACCAGGAGTTTTCACATGCCCATGTGACCTCACCAGGATAAACTGTCTGCAGGCCCTTTAGAAAAGTCAATGCACTATCCTCTTAGAAAGGGAAACGCATAGAACCAGTGTCTGGTTCGTTCAGCATCCGCACAGGAGGCACTATATAAGGCATTCATTATGCTTCAGTGATACTGTTCATTAATAATACGTAGACATTCAAATAGAGATCAATCAATAATTGCAGTACGTGAGTCAGCTAAATACTGCAAATTCAAGTCATTATGATGACTCGACAGGAGTAGATACTTGCTCACTGAATGGGACATTATCAGTTGCTGTGCATTGAGATATCACAGTATTTTAAGGAAATTATTTTCCCCGAAAGTGTGCTATAAAGAAAACATTTTTACAGCGAAAGATTCCATTATTTCCTTCATTGTTTCGATGGCAACGTTGCAGAGATCGTGCTACAAGATCGACCACTAGACGGCGCACGAGGCTCTTGGAGGAGGGTCTACGTGTTAACATCCAGTTCAGCAGGTGGCAGTAACGCGCCTTTCTTTATAACGTACAGCAATGTTAAGCAGCTAGTGGAAGAATAGATCGGTTGATGTGTTGTCATATGGTCTGTGGTTGTACTTAACATTTAACATTAGCCGTTGATAGCTAATTAACTACCAAATACAAGATGTGGCAGCCCGATCCTTTCCATAATGAGTTGGTCTCTGTTATGGATGATTTAATGACGTCGTTGGAGGATGAAATTGACAAATGTATGGCGGTCTTAGTCTTTTCCACAAAAGACAGGACAGACATTGATGCAGTGGAGACGGGAGAAATTGAAAGAGAATCCAAGTTGGAGGTTAAAGTAAGTGGCTAACTTTACTTCTACAAATTGAAACTGTTAACGTATGTGTTAATTAGTTTGCTATTGATAGTGCAGGTTGGCATTTATTGAGATGATTCATGTACTGGAGGCAGCTCTGCGGAGTGGTCGCTAGCTGGCACAGCCAAAGTCATAAAATCTAATTTTAAACCTAACATTAACTACACTGCTAACCCTAACCTTAAATTAAGACCAAAAAGCAATTTTCTTGTGTTTTCATAAATTTTTACGATATAGCCCATTTTTACTTTGCAGCTGGCGAAACTGCCACCAGGGTAGGGTTGCCAGGTTGAGCTAATATTTGAAGAGTAAAGATCACTGAAACCTGACCCAATGCCGGAAAACTTTCCCTATTTTTTTTTCTTGCAGCAAGCGGAGTTGCCACATTTAACCAATAAACACTTTTTCCAGAGCAGCTTCTAGTTTTGTGCCAACATCCATCAAATTCCTTAACTTAAGTTTTTATTAGTATTATACTGTAGTCTACATGGTTTTGTGTTATGTGTCTTGTACAGTGCATTCTGAAAGTATTCAGACCCCTTGACTTTTTCCACATTTTGTGACGTTACAGCCTTATTCTAAAATGGATTAAATAAAACATTTTCCTCAGCAATCTACACACTATACCCCCATAATTTCAAAGCGAAAACAGTTTATTTTAAATTTTTGCAAATCTAAAAAAATACATTTAAATAAGTACCTTATTTACATAAGTATTCAGACCCTTTGCAATGAGACTCGAAATTGAGCTCAGGTGCATCCTCTTTCCATTGATCATCCTTGATGTTTCTACAACTTGATTGGAGTCCACCTGTCGTAAATCCAATTGATTGGACATGATTTGGAAAGTCACACACCTGTCTATATAAGGTCCCACAGTTGACAGTGCATGTCAGAGCAAAAACCAAGCCATAAGGTCGGAGGAATTGTCCGTAGCGCTCAGAGACAGGATTGTGTCGAGGTACAGATCTGGGGAAGGCTACCAAAAAATGTCCCCAAGAACACAGTGGCCTCCATCATTCTTAAATGGAAGACGTTTGGAACAACCAAGACTCATCCTAGAGCTGGCCGCCCGGCCAAATGGAGCAATCGGGGTAGAAGGGCCTTGGTCAGGGAGGTGACCAAGAACCCGATGGTCACTCTGACAGAGCTCCAGAGTTCCTCTGTGGAGATGAGAGAACCATCTCTGCAGCACTCCACCAATCAGGCCTTTGTGGCCAGACGGAAGCCACTCCTCAGTAAAAGGCACATGACTGCCGCTTGGAGTTTGCCTAAAGGCACCTAAAGACTCTCAGACCATGAGAAACAAGATTCTCTGGTCTGATGAAACCAATATTGAAATCTTTGGCCTGAATACCAAGCATCAAGTCTGGAGGAAACCTGGCACCATCCCTATGGTGAAGCATGGTGGTGGCAACATCATGCTGTGGGGATGTTTTTCAGCGGCAGGGACTGGGAGACTAGTCAGGATCAAGGCAAAGATGAACGGAGCAAAGTACAGAGAGATCCTTGACAAAAACCTGCTCCAGAGCGCTCAGAGCGAAGGTTCACCTTCCAACAGGACAACGACCCTAAGCACACAGCCAAGACAACGCAGGAGTGGCTTCTGGACAAGTCTCTGAATGTCCTTGAGTGGCCCAGCCAGAGTCTGGACTTGAACTTGATCAAACTTCTCTGGAGAGACCTGAAAATAGCTGTGAAGCAACGCTGCCCACCCAACCTGACAGAGCTTGATAGGATATGCAGAGAAGAATGGGAGAAAATACCGGTGTGCCAAGCTTGTAGCGTCATACCCAAGAAGACTCAATGCTGTAATCACTGCAAAAGGTGCTTCAACAAAGTACTGAATAAAGGGTCTGAATACTTATGTAAATGTAATATATATTTTAATAAATTAGCAAACATTTCTAAAAACCTGTTTTTGCTTTGTCATTATGGGGTATTGTGTGTAGATTGATGAGGAGAAAAAAACAATTGAGTCAATTTTAGAATAAGGCTGTAAAGTAACAAAATGTGGAAAAGTCAAGGGGTCTGAATACTCTCTGAAGTATACCATTCGTCACCACACATAAAGTTCCTTCCCAGGAAATAACATTAATGAGCGAATTAAGATAGATTATACAACGGGTGGGTCTAATCCTGAATGCTGATTGGTTTAAACCGTATTCCAGCCTGTGTCTATTCCACAAGTTACCACTGGCTAAATCTATGACTTTAAAATAAATGCCTATTTACTGTGTTCCATTTTACTGCGCAATCCACTGTCTCATCAACCCAGCTAAGCAATTTATAAACTTGATCTCCACTATAAAAAGCATCTAGATATTATCTCATTTCTTTTAGACTAACATTTAGTTTTCAACAGCGGAGATTTGTATAAACCTTGCAGTCTCTCTCTGACATTTGCAACATTGTTTCAATATTCAACAAATATATTGGCACGGGTGTTGTTATTGGCAAACCGAGCCAATATACCCTTCAAACACCGGCTTCGAGGGCATTATCACTTTTATACAAAGGGTTACCAACATATGTAAATCATTATTTGAATACTTTCATTAAAAACATTATTTTAATGAATTTAATAATATTATTTCATCCTTCCACAAGATATAGTCCCGACACAAATCTAGGGTTGCTACCCAAGCCAGCTGGTCGTTCGTTCTATCGGTTCGGTTGCCAGAGACGTGACCTAGTCGTTCAGTATTTTTGTTCTGTATCTATGGACGCGACCCAGTCATTCGTTCTAAATGTTCCATTGCCATACTGGCTGGCAACGTTCTTACCATTTGCTTGCTAGCAAGCCAACTACAGCTAACTTACAGTCACGTCAAACAGTGCAGCCAGAATAACAACAGTAGCTGCATTTGTTTTAAGCTGTTTTCTAGTGACATTTATTTGGATACATCCATAACAATGAGCTAATGAAGCACGATTTTAACTGGCATAGAAAATGTGCTCTCTCGTCAGGACACTGTTGTTCAGAGGAGCTAGCCAACAACACAGCTAACACAATCACTTCAAACTGAAGCTGGAAAGACCGCAAACTAGCTGTACTTCATTTGACCTTTTTTCAATTTAGATTTCTGTGTAAATATCCATAAAAATGATGCCAGCTGATTCATGATTTCTACTGGCTGAGAAACGCTGCCTGCCTGTGTGTCTCGTCCCGACTCCCGAAACGTTCAGTACTACAGTATACAGATCTCCGCTGTTGAAAACTAAATGTTAGTCTAAAAGAAATGTGAGATAATGTCTAGATGCTTTTCAAGTTTATAAATTACCTGGCTGGGATGTTGAGACAGTGGATTGTGCAGTCAGATTGAACAGAGTTAATAGGCATTTTAACGTCATAGATATAGCCGGTGGTAATTTGTGGAATAGACGCCAGCTGGAATGCGGTTTTAACCAATCAGCATTCAGGATTAGAACCACCCGTTGTATAAAAAGGTGATAATGCACTCGAAGACGGTGTTAGGAGGATATATTGGCACGGTTTGCCAGCCCGAGACGAAACAACACCCGTAACATGACCTAATAAAGGAATCTGAATATATCGCAAGAATTAACATAATTCAACCTTATCAAACTCGCCAGATCATTTTCCATCAATGGATGTCGATTTAACTTGTTTGACTGCTATGATTAAGCAATAAGGCCCGAGGGGGTGTGTTATATGGCCAATATACACCACTAAGGGCAGTTCTTATGCACGACGCAACGCGGTGCCATATTGCTATTATAAACTGGTTAAACTTGCTATTATAAACCAACATAATTAGACCAGTAAAAATAAATGTTTTGTCATAGCCTTGGATTACGGTCTGATCTGTCAGCCAATCAGCATTCAGGGCTCGAACCACCCAGTTTATAATTGTAAATAAATTGCCTTTGCACATAACTATAGATAAATCCGTCAGGAGAGTTTGAGTGATGAAAGTTGGACAGAGCAAGAAACACTTAGACAAACTTCAAAAAAAGAAAGTTAGGCTATTTTCTGGCAATTGTGCCATTATTATGTGCCAGATGTCAAAACTACAAACCGCTATAAATTGCCTATTTGCGAGATTGACTTGTCATTTCTAAAATCTGGGTTTGTGATTGTAATTCAACTTTGCCATGGTTTGCTTAGCTAGATGCAGGTAGCAAAGACAGGAGCCCCTGATAAGCCTATGTCTCATTTCAGATGGCCTACAGTAACGCTAGTAAGGCAAGATGGCGCCTAAACTGAAGGATTTAGCAGCTTGCTTAGTTCAAATTGACAGAATAATTTATTCAGCATGAATAGTGAGGCGATTCGAGGTAAGAAGTACTTGTGTTGCCCAATAGCCTGCTGGAATAGGCTGGGATCGTAATTTCAATCACTGAATCAAATATGATTAATAATATGGATATGAACTGAATATGCTTATCTGACTGACTGATACCGTTAATTGCGTTCTAACAACAGTTTATCGTCAATTGTGATAGAGGTGTGATAATGATCACAATTGAAACTTCCAATTTAATTAACTTAAAATGGCCATTAATAAATTTCATAATAACACATGGCTACAACAACAATAAATAAGCTATAGGCTATTTATTAAATCAGTTTGCCAGCTCCAGGTGCGCTACACAAATGGCACAAATTGATTTAAAAAGACTCCAGTGATCATCATTTCAACATATTTATTTTATTGTATCAAATGGTAGGCTACATTTGATTATTAGGCTACTTGATGGCCAACAGATGCAAATGTATCATTCTCCACATTTAATGTCAGTTTCATTGTGGACTTTTCCCCGTAACAGAAGCACGCGAGGGAGTTCCATAACTTCCATTTCAAATTTCCACTCACGCAGCGCTCGAGACCCAAGAACTGAGCATGGGTAAAACCCTTCGCTTGATACGGTTTTCCATAAGCAAAGTCCAGTTTAAACCACCTCCGAGCGACTGTTGTCACGATGTACTCGCGTGCTGCTCAGTCTCCTCTCTCACGTGACTCAGCTGCCTGCTGCTGCAGCAATCCCCCCCCCCCCCCCCCCCCCCCCCCCCCCCATTTTGGTTTTTCCCTGAATTATAATAACCAACTCATTATCGGGGGGCCTAGGCCCGAGTTGGGAACCCTGTCTCAACACACACACCCCCCCCGGCCCTCCCCACCACTCACTCATTCAGCAACAGCCTGCCCTTACTGCCTGATAGTCAGCTGCAGCAGGTCACAGTGAAATGAAATATATATTTTTTAAGAGAAATGCCATGGCAGCCGTGGTGCAATTTATAAGTAGGCCAAAACACGCAACCAATCATTTTCACCCGCACATCGTTTTCAAAGTACCCCAATTTGGTGAGAGAAACCGATGACATGGAAACCCTGCTCCAGGGCAAGACTCAGTGACAAATGTCAACCGCTTGAAAAAAGGTTGGTGTGGAATGGAAAATAAGTATATATCTGTTTTCTGATTTTAGGTCCAGTTGGACATGTGTGAATGGAAAACATTTGTGAAACAACTATCGATAGAATCCAGCACCAAGCATTGAAGTTTTTTTTAATAACCCAAACAAGTTATTTTTCGTTTGGTTTCATCTGACCAATGACATTCTCCCAATCCTCTTCTGGATCATCGAAATGCACTCTAGCAACTTCAACGGGCCTGGACATGTACTGGCTTAGCAGGGGGACACGTCTGGCACTGAGTCCCTGGCGGCGTAGTGTGTTACTGATGGTAGGCTTTGTTACTTTGGTCCCAGCTCTCTGCAGGTCATTCACTAGGTCCCCCCGTGTGGTTCTGGGATTTTTGCTCACCGTTCTTGTGATCATTTTGACCCCACGGGGTGAGATCTTGCGTGGAGCCCCAGATCGAGGGAGATTATCAGTGGTCTTGTATGTCTTCCATTTCCTAATAATTGCTCCCACAGTTGAATTTCTTCAAACCAAGCTGCTTACCTATTGCAGATTCAGTCTTCCCAGCCTGGTGCAGGTCTACAATTTTGTTTCTGGTGTCCTTTGACAGCTCTTTGGTCTTGGCCATAGTGGAGTTTGGAGTGTGACTGTTTGAGGTTGTGGACAGGTGTCTTTTATACTGATAACAAGTTCAAACAGGTGCCATTAATACAGGTAACGAGTGGAGGACAGAGGAGCCTCTTAAAGAAGTAAATAAATTCATTAAAAATCCTACAATGTGATTTTCTGGATTTCTTTTTCTCAATTTGTCTGTCATAGTTGACGTGTACCTATGATGAAAATTACAAGCCTCTCCCATCTTTTTAAGTGGGAGAACTTGCACAATTGGTGGCTGACTAAATACTATTTTTCCCCACTGTAATTAGACCAGTAAAAATAAATGTTTTGTCATAGCCGTGGATTACGGTCTGATCTGTCAGCCAATCAGCATTCAGGGCTCGAACCACCCAGTTTATAATTGTAAATAAATTGCCTTTGCACATAACTATAGATAAATCCGTCAGGAGAGTTTGAGTGATGAAAGTTGGACAGAGCAAGAAACACTTAGACAAACTTCAAAAAAAGAAAGTTAGGCTATTTTCTGGCAATTGTGCCATTATTATGTGCCAGATGTCAAAACTACAAACCGCTATAAATTGCCTATTTGCGAGATTGACTTGTCATTTCTAAAATCTGGGTTTGTGATTGTAATTCAACTTTGCCATGGTTTGCTTAGCTAGATGCAGGTAGCAAAGACAGGAGCCCCTGATAAGCCTATGTCTCATTTCAGATGGCCTACAGTAACGCTAGTAAGGCAAGATGGCGCCTAAACTGAAGGATTTAGCAGCTTGCTTAGTTCAAATTGACAGAATAATTTATTCAGCATGAATAGTGAGGCGATTCCAGGTAAGAAGTACTTGTGTTGCCCAATAGCCTGCTGGAATAGGCTGGGATCGTAATTTCAATCACTGAATCAAATATGATTAATAATATGGATATGAACTGTATATGCTTATCTGACTGACTGAAACCGTTAATTGCGTTCTAACAACAGTTTATCGTCAATTGTGATAGAGGTGTGACAATGATCACAATTGATAACTTCCAATTTAATTAACTTAAAATGGCCATTAATAATTGCATAATAACACATGGCTACAACAACAATAAATAAAGCTATAGGCTATTTATTAAATCAGTTTGCCAGCTCCAGGTGCGCTACACAAGTGGCACAAATTGATTTAAAAAGACTCCAGTGATCATCATTTCAACATATTTATATTTATTGTATCAAATGGTAGGCTACATTTGATTATTAGGCTACTTGTGGCCAACAGATGCAAATGTATCATTCTCCACATTTAATGTCAGTTTCATTGTGGACTTTTCCCCGTAACAGAAGCACGCGAGGGAGTTCCATAACTTCCATTTCAAATTTCCACTCACGCAGCGCTCGAGACCCAAGAACTGAGCATGGGTAAAACCCTTCGCTTGATACGGTTTTCCATAAGCAAAGTCCAGTTTAAACCACCTCCGAGCGACTGTTGTCACGATGTACTCGCGTGCTGCTCAGTCTCCTCTCTCACGTGACTCAGCTGCCTGCTGCTGCAGCAATCCCCCCCCCCCCCCCCCCCCATTTTGGTTTTTCCCTTGAATTATAATAACCAACTCATTATCGGGGGGGGCCTAGGCCCGAGTTTGGGAAACCCTGTCTCAACACACACACCCCTCCGGCCCTCCCCACCACTCACTCATTCAGCAACAGCCTGCCTTACTGCCTGATAGTCAGCTGCAGCAGGTCACAGTGAAATGAAATATATATTTTTTAAGAGAAATGCCATGGCAGCCGTGGTGCAATTTATAAGTAGCCCAAAAACACGCAACCAATACATTTTCACCCGCAACATCGTTTTCAAAGTACCCCAATTTGGTGAGAGAACCGATGACATGGAAACCCTGCTCCAGGGCAAGACTCATGATGACAAATGTCAACCGCTTGAAAAAAGGTTGGTGTGGAATGGAAAATAAGTATATATCTGTTTTCTGATTTTAGGTCCAGTTGACATGTGTGATGAAACAGTTTGTGAAACAGACTATCATCAAAATCAACCAGTTGATCTCCAAAGGCACAGCAGCCCTGCGTTCAGAGATATGCCAGAGTCAAAGTGAGATTAAATCTCTGAAAATGAAGCTATTGGAGATGACTGATGGTAAGGAGATACCTGAAAAGACAGTGGGAAGAGCCCCACATACTGTGGAAGAGGAGGAATGGACGGAAGCACCATTATCACCAGAGTTTGCAGAGGATTTTGAGGTATGTTATATTTTACATGTTTGCCAGAATTGTGCAGTTTGACCATGGGGCTGAAGTTATCTGTGGGAATGAGCCTTTTACTATTATTATCCTTGAATCCCAGGACTGACTGGTACTGCCATTGTACACTTGGGCACTGCTCTGCGACTGAGTTACAATTTAAAAAATGTCAATCTTTTTTTTTTCAGGTTGACCTGCCAACTCCCAGTGTTGAGGCTGCCAACACTACAAATGTCAAGAAGGAGACCACGATCAGAGCTAAAACCATAGAGATGGAACAATCATTTATATCTCTGGCTAAAATACCTTCCTCCTCACTCACTGAGTCTATCAAACAGGCGGCAAGCAGGCCTACAGACAAAAAGGCAGCAAGCAGGCCTACAGACAAAAAGGCCCCAAGTATAGACCCCCAAACTCCCAGTGGGGACTCTGTGATGTCCACCAGACCCAGGAGGAAGAAGAAGAGAACAGAAGCACAACCCACGGCGGCAGAATCAGACGGAAGTGAGGAAAATGCCAATGATGACCAATGGGAGGAGGAGAATGCTAAAGCTGGACAAACCTCGAATGACGTATCTGTTCACAACATAAAGCAAAGGCCCAACATAAAAAAAAACAAGACTACCACCACCAGGAAAGAGCACCACTGTCTGGACTGCGGTAAGGTTTTTAAGAATTCAAGTAATTTAAAACTGCATCAACAGACTCACACAGGAGAGAGACCTTATTGTTGTGAACTATGTGGGAAATGTTTCCCGACTGCTTGGAAGCTCAGACTACACCAAGCAGTGGTCCACAGAAGGGAGAAGCCGCTTGAGTGTCCAACATGTGGGAAGTGCTTTGCAACAAAGCATTATTTGGACACTCACGCAAGCGTTCATTCAACAGAGAAACCGTTCCGATGCCTCGTGTGTCAGAAGTGTTTTAAAAGTAAAAGTGGCCTCAAGGAACACACAATGTTGCACAATTCAGATTCAGATTCATATGCTTGTGACAAATGTCCAAAAACCTTCCCAAAGTTGAAATACCTCAAGAATCACCAGCTAACTCACAGTGGAGGAGGAGCTCACCGTTGTGAATTGTGTGGGAAAGGTTTCAAGACTCCTTCCGAGCTCAAACGGCACCAAGCATCAGTCCATAGGGGAGAGAAGCCATTTCAATGTCCGACATGTGGGAAGTGCTTCGCAGAAAATAAAAATTTGAAAATTCACGCAAGTGTTCATTCAGAAGAGAGAGCATTTCAGTGCCCTCAGTGTCAGATGTGTTTCAAAACCAAGTATACTCTTAACGACCATAAGAAGACGCACACGGATTCCAAGCCGTATGCTTGCGAAAAATGCCCAATGACCTTTATTCGGTCTTATTACCTCAAGATTCATCAAGCTTCGCACCTGACCAGCAAGCCGTTTGCGTGCAGCCACTGTGGGAAAGGCTTCAAAGGTGAACGTGGGCTCAAGAGACACGAACGCACCCACACCGAAAAACCGACTTATACCTGTGACGAATGTGGCAAGGGCTTCTATCAACACGAATCATTTAAAGTCCATGCAGCCTTGCACACCGGAGAGAAGCCGTTCACCTGCGATCACTGCGATAAAACCTTTGCTCTGGCGTCCTACCTTAAAACCCACATATTGAAACTTCACTCTGTCACCGAACCCCACGTCTGTGGGAAATGTGGCAAGAAATATAAGGATTTCACCCATTTCAGAATCCATATGTTTCAGGGTTGTCCAGAGGAGGCTGCGGCGTTGGTTTGACTATAAAAAAAATAATCATTGCATATCATTGGAAATGACAATTTCTCATCTTTCTAATGTTGGAGGGGATCTAAATATATTGGAAATATATGGTACATGGAAATCAAGAGATGGTGGTCTACGGCAATAGGTGGGGTGGAATTAAAAGCTCATAATCTGTAATAGTTAGGACTGAAAACGCCATATCATGCATACCGGAAATGTCTGCGTGCCATTTAAGGTGTAATGTGTATATCAAACTGTATTTCTGACATGTAATACCTTGTATAAAAGTACCATGTATGAATAATGTGCATGTAAACAAAAATGGAATGCAGGTTACATGCACAACCTGTAACTTTCATTCTGATAATGGTTTGTTATTCATTGTTATTTTGGAATTGTGAATAAAGTTGTAAAATGTTGTTTCACTACAAACATGTATGTTTACTTGTTAATCCATAAACAACCGTTAGACTTGGCTATGATTGAGCGTAGTACCACACATTAATTTTGAAATAAATTTGTATACAGATGTCAGTAATGTAGAATAGATGAACATCTGATAAAATCATACGTTGACTGTGTAAAATATAAGGCTCTAATGATAGGCTCTATTATTCTTGTTTTGGAGTGACTATCACCCAGTCACTATTCAATGATGACTCAAGCCCTCAAGAAGTTTATTTCACAATAATACATTGAGCAGACAGATGCCTCCCTGAATTAGCACATCCATGTTTAGAAGTCATCAAGATCAAGCAGGGCTGTATTCAATGATGTGAAACATTCAAGAAGGCTGTGATTGCGGGCGTGAAAAACTGATATGGAATGCCCACATGCAGGAACGCCCTGAATTGTGGGCCTCAATCACACACTATTGCATTCTGACAGGTGCTGATGGAACTAGAATAAGGAATCATGTCAGCTCTATTCATTTTATCTGACAACGAATCACATCTATTCTACACGAGGCTGCTGAGGGGAGGAAGGCTCATAATGATGGCTGGAATGGAGTGAATGGAATGGTGTTTAACACATGGACACTGTGTTTGACGTGTTTGTTATCATTCCATTTATTCCGTTCAAGCCATAACGATGAGCCTGTCCTCCCCAATTAAGGTGGCACCGGCCACCTGTGGTTCTACACTATACATTTCTGAATCGGAACATTCTGTAACAACATCCTTGGGCGGATTCGATTATGCTAAGCCGCGGGGCACCGGGCAAAGGCCGTCACGTCATTGGCTGAAACGGGGAGGGAGGAGCACCCTTCTCAAATTGAATATTAATCTGTCGCTCTGTCATGTTGTCAATAAGGCAGCATGGTGCGTCGTCCAGAAACATCTATTTTTCCCTAAGTAAATGTTTGAATTTTCTATTTTTCATAGGGAAGGCAGATAAAGCGTTTTTATCAAAAGCAGTACCTTTTGCATGGGAAAACACAGAATCCTACTAATTACTACACGTGCTTAAATTGGGTCACTTTTGTTTTGAGCCGACTTCGCCGTGGGCTTTGAACAGGGCACCTGGCTCATACCCCGGAGGCAGCCCAGTTCCAAATCGAATGCAATCAACTTTCATCCGATGTAAAACACTCCTACATGGGCGCCCGGGTGAGATGAAATGAACCCCCTTCTGAACAGGCCCCAGTTGTGGCTACTGTAGCTTGTGATTATGGCCAGGAGTTTTCACATGACCATGTGACTTCATCATGCAAAACTTGGTCTCCAGAACCTTCAGCTACAGAGCTACAGGTAACTGCCAAAATAATGGAAACACTTGAGTAAATGAGTGCTGCAAAAGCCTTGTTCACACTGCAGGCCTTAATCCTTAAAGAGAAACTGCCCCTAAAAAGCAACTAATCCCTTTGAAAACAATAGTGTGCAACTGCAGCCCTTAATTCGGGGCGTTCCTGCATGCCCCCCTTCTCGAGCATCCCATTGGTTCCTTCATTTTGTAATTTTTTTCCAGATTTTTCAGGGGAGCTGCAGCACCCTCAGAACCCCTACTTCCCGCGGCTATGGAAAATATGTTGGTGATGGCTATTTAACAGTCTGATGGCCTTGAGATAGAAGCTGTTTTTCATTCCCCTCGGTCCCAGCTTTGATGCACCTGTACTGACCTCGCCTTCTGGATGATAGTGGGGTGAACAGGCAGTGGCTTGGGTGGTTGATGTCCTTGATTATCGTTTTGGCCTTCCTGTGACATCGGTTGCTGTAGGTGTCTCGGAGGGCGGGTAGTTTGCCCCTGGTAATGCGTTCGGCAGACCGCACCACCCTCTGGAGAGCCCTGCGGTTGCGGGCGGTGCAGTTGCCGTACCAGGCGGTGATACAGCCCGACAGGATGCTCTCAATTGTGCATTGTGAGGGTTTTAGGTGCCAAGCCAAATTTCTTCAGCCTCCTGAGGTTGAAGAGGCTCTTTTGCGCCTTCTTCACCACACTGTCTGCGTGGGTGGAGCATTTCAGTTTGTCAGTGATGTGTACGCCAAGGAACTTGAAGCTTTCCACCTTCTCCACTGCAGTCCCGTCAATGTGGATAGGGGGGTGCACCCTCTGCTGTTTCCTGAAGTCCACGATCATCTCCTTTCTTTTGTTGACATTGAATGAGAGGTTATTTTCCTGGCACCACACTCCCAGAGCCCTCACCTCCTCCCTGTAGGCGGTCTCGTCATTTTTGGTAATCAAGCCTACTACTGTTGTGTCATCTGCAAACTTGATAATTGAGTTGGAGGCGTGCTTGGCCACGCAGTCATGGGTGAACACGGAGTACAGGGCTAAGCACACACCCTTGTTGGGCCCCAGTGTTGAGGATCAGCGAAGTGGAGATGTTGTTTCCTACCTTCACCAGCTGGGGGTGGTTCATCAGGAAGTCCAGGACCCAGTTGCACAGGGCGGGGTTAAGACCCAGGGCCTCGAGCTTAATGATGAGCTTGGAGGGTACTATGGTGTTGAGTGCTGAGCTATAGTCAATGAACAGCATTCTTACATAGGTATTCCTCTTGTCCAGATGGGATAGGGCAGTGTGCAGTGTGATGGCGATTGCATCGTCTGTGGATCTATTGGGGCGGTAAGCAAATAGAAGTGGGTCTAGGTTGACATGTAAGGCAGAGGTGATATGATCCTCTGTAGCTCAATTGGTAGAGCATGGCGCTTGTAACGCCAGGGTAGTGGGTTCGATCCCCGGGACCACCCATACGTACAAATGTATGCACACGTGACTAAGTCACTTTGGATAAAAGCGCCTGCTAAATGGCATATTATTATTATTATTATTATTATTATTATTATTATTATTATTATGATCCTTGACTAGTCTCTCAAAGCATCTATGGATTTCACATGACTGGGATATGTATCTGTTGGTCACAGATGCCTTTAAAAAAGGTAGGGGTGTGGATCAGAAAAGCAGTCAGTATCTGGTGTGATCACCATTTGCCTTCTGCAGCATGACACATCTCCTTCACATAGAGTTGATCAGGCTGTTGATTGTGGCCTGTGGAATGTTGTCCCACTCCTCTTCAATGGCTGTGCGATGTTGCTGGATATTGGTGGGAACTGGAACACGCTGTTGTACATGGGTGACATATCTGGTGAGTATGCAGGCCATAGAAGAACTGGGACATTTCAGCTTCCAGGAATTGTGTCCAGATCCTTGCGACGTGGATTATCATGCTGAAACATGAGGTGATGGCGGTGGATGAATGGCACAACAATGGGCCTCAGGATCTTGTCACTGTATCTCTGTGCATTGAAATTGCCGTCAATAAAATGCAATTGTGTTTGTTGTCCATAGCTTAAGCCTGCCCATACCATAACCCCACCACCACCATGGGGCACTCTGTTCACAACGTTGACATCAGAAAACCGCTCGCCCACACGACGCCATACACGTGGTCTGCAGTTTTGAGGTCTGTTGGACATACTGCCAAATTCTTTTAGAATTAACAGTAAATTAAATGGCAACAGCTCTGGTGAACATTCCTGCAGTTAGCATGCCAATTGCATGCGCCCTCAAAACTTGAGACATCTGTGGCATTGTGTCGTGTGACAAAACTGCACATTTTAGAGTGGCCTTTTATTGTTCCCAGCACAAGGTGCACCTGTGTAATGATCATGCCATTTAATCAGCTTCTTGGTATGCCACACCTGTCAGGTGGATGGATGATCTTGGCAAAAGAGAAATACTCACTGACAGGGATGTAAAGAAATTTGCAAAAAAATTAAGAGAAATAAGCTTTTTGTTCATATGGAACATTTCTGGAATCTTGAAACATGGGACCAACCGTTTACATGTTGTGTTTATATTTTTGTTCAGTGTAGTAGGTTAATTACCCAGACAAGCAGATACAAATAGTAGTCATTTTGGTTGTGAATTGCATTATCAAAAAGCTTTGTCCTTTTTAACAAAATGCAATTTACCACTAGGCTGTCTATTGTATCACCCTGTCACATGCCCTCCCAGTCAACACTACCTCATAAGATGAGGAAGTACATCGTTTATGAGGATTGCCTGCTGCAGTTGTTCAAGAGATATCCAGTTTGTAGCCGAACATGCAACATAGAGAAGACCAGCAAGGGGACCCTCAGCATCACGCAGACCTGCGCTGTATTGTGAGTATTCCTATAAATGGAACAGGGAGGATATTTGAATCAGGTTGGTAACATTTGACCTGGTCAAAGGTCAAAACAGTTTCGAGTTTTGTCCCAATTCACCTTCATAACCTAGCCTGGTGGAACCAGCCTGATTGCTGCGTTTACCATTCTATTTCACTTCACATACAGTGGGGAGAACAAGTATTTTATACACTGCCGATTTTGCAGGTTTTCCTACTCACAAAGCATGTAGAGTTCTGTATTTTTACCATAGGTACACTTCAACTGTGAGAGACGGAATCTAAAACAAAAATCCAGAAAATCACATTGTATGATTTTTAAGTAATTCATTTGCATTTTATTGCATGACATAAGTATTTGATCACTTACCAACCAGTAAGAATTCCGCCTCTCACAGACCTGTT